TCTTCATTTAATCAGGGTAGAATATTATCATCTACCCTCAAGACTGCTGTATTCATTATATCCATGTAAAGAGTCATGAATAAGGTCTGGTACACAGTAAGCACTCAGTAAATGTTGGCTAATGATGCTGATGATGTTTAGGCTTAATATGGTCCACAGGAGTAGAGAGTAAGGAGCAGAAGATGCGTGAATTAGGAGACACCCAGACCCGAATATTCCTAATGTGTGGCTGTAGATCTTGCTGCTATAAAAACATGGAACAAATGGGTGTTGAGGTGAGACCTTCGTGAGACTGAATACAGAGGCTCTGATGAACTTTGATGCTAACAGTGCAAAGGAAACACACTGGATTTTATGACATCCCTCGCCATCTCACAGCCTCACGGGCACCCACGTGCATCGCTAGCCAATCAACTTCATTTGTGACTGGAGTCTGGAAATACTTTTTTAAAACGCCAGGGTTGGGACTTCCTGGTGGTCCAAGGGCTAAGACTCTGAGCTACTAATTCAGGGGGCCAGGGTTTGATCCCTCTCAGGGAACTAGATCTCGCATGCTGCAACAAAGATCAAAGATTCCGGGTGCCACAACTATAACCCAGCACAGCCAAATAAAACAAACAAAAAGTGCCAGGGTTTTATGACCCACACACAAACTGACTACCATTCTGGCATATTCCCTTCCAGCACTGTAGTAACAGTTCTGTGTTATTTCAAACTTTGCAATCCTGTAAAAAATGGCTATGTAACATCCTACTATGAAGATTCACACAATTACATATCTCCAGACTTGGAGTTTTAGGTTATTTTCAATTTTTCACTTTTACAAAGAACAACTTGTGCATTTGAGCTGTTTCTTTTTGTGAGTTTGTATGTAGAACCCTCTACCTTAGGGAGTTTTCCAAAAAGGGGAATCACTTAATCAGCTGCTCTGGAGGTGTGTAAATCTTTTCATTCATTCAGCGTTTACTGGCACGTGCTCAGAGCAGACAGATGACGAACATGCGGTCCTGATCCTTGTCCTCAATGCATTCCCAGGTGGTAGGGAAAGCATGCTGCCAGACACCTTTCCCATTGGGTGGCACCAATTTCTTAATGAATTAATTCCTAATAAATTTCCTAAGAAGCAGTCCAATTTTACCACAATAACATGCTCATGGCTCAAATAAATAAACCGAATCCCAAACTGGGTTTATTAGGAGGTAAAAAAACACACACCTTGTTTTAACTTGAATTATTGTTTACTGATTAGCTGTGCCTCCTCTTTTATGAATCACTTCATGTTTTTGCTCTGACTTTACTGGAAGCTGGTGTATTTCACGCTGATTTATTTATTTTCTTTACTGAACAAAGACTTGAGGCCACTGTCAGTAAGAACTGCCACACTTTTTTTTTTCTCCTTTACCATTTCATCTATTTTGCTCCCCACTTGGAATGACTTTCACTTACTGGGGCTAAGCCATTTGATCTACAAGGAAAGATTTCCTAAGAAACTACTCAATGAAACCTATTACTTTCTTTATGAAAGGGTGATTTTTGAAGATAATGTAGATGATGTTAGTTTCCTCTCTACGAGAACCCACAAAAGAAGTTTCTTTCAGGTAAGAGTACCAGGAATAGTTATGCTTCCTGAGTAGCGGGTTTATTTTTCTGTTATGAACACGGTGAATCATGGAACTGATCACGTCTTCTGTACATCAGTGCCTGGAAAGGGTCAATGGTACAGCTCACCACTAGCAAACGCCAACACTTTAAAAGCACACATTTTTGCACACAACTTCATCCCTGGCTTTATTTAACATTTCCTACCTTCATTTTCCCTTTATTTTCCTTACCCATTTATTAAAAAAATTTAAACCAGTTATTAAAATAATGAGGTTTAAAATGCTTATCTTGTTTGAAAATAAAGGTAAGGTTCAAAATATAAAACAAAAGATATGAAGTCCCACTAATCGCTATGTTAGAACACAAAGACATAAAGGACACATACTATATGATATCACTTACATATGGAATCTAAAAAATATGAATGAATGTACACACAAAATGGACCCAAAGACATAGAAAACAAACTTATAGTTACCAGAGGAAAGAGGGAGGGGGGATGGACAAATCAGAGGAACAGGAAACTAACAGATACAAACCACTGAGAGCTACATAAAATAGTTAAGTGACAGGATTTTACTGTATGGCACAGGGAAGTGTACCCAATGTCAGGTAATGTGGAATATAAAGTGTAAAAAAAAACAAAAACAAAACGAATCACTATGCTACATACCTGAAACTAACACAATACTGTGAAATCAACTGTATTTTTCCTTTTTGGCTGAACTGTGCATACGGGATCTCAGTTCCCTGACAAGGGATTGAACCTGTGTCCACTGCACTGGAAGTGCCAGGGAAGCCCCAAATCAACTACATCTCAGTTAAGCCAACAGGAAGAAAAAGGGACACGGTCCTCATCTTAAGAAGCTGAGAAGCTAGTGGGCAAGAATAAGGAGACACCAAGAAGCGTGGGAAGTGACTCCCTGACCAGAAGGTGCCATGGACACACAGGAAGGGGGCATCTAACTGGAGGCCTCTTGGGATGACTGCTGGGGAAATGACGCAGTCCCGAGGGAAAAGCGACCTAACAGAGAAAGACAGGCCAGGGCAGCCCAAGTGATGGAAAAGACCTTACACACTGAGCTAAGGAGTTTAAACTTGACCCTGAAGACCACGGAGAGTCACTGCAGGATTTCAAATGGGATATAAATGCCACAATCAGATTAGCATTTTAGAAAGACCCGTCTGATAGTGGTGTTTAGAACACACTGACTGTGGATTAAAAAATGAGCCAGTAACTGCAGCTATGCAGTCAGAAGTGGTAAGGGCCTGAATGATTTACCACATTAAAAAAAAGGTTTCCATTTTTATTATATTTTATTCCTATTGTTAACATATGAGAATGTGGTGAAGTTTTGCCAAACTCATTAAATTTAACCTCTTGAATTCAGTTTTCTGGAGGCATTTCTTCATCAAATAGACAATTCTATCTCTTCTTTTCAAATATGCATACTTCAATTCTTATTGTATTGGCCACAATAGTATTTTTAAGAAATAATTATCCAAACAGTATGATTTTAAGTTATAAATAAAAAAATGGCCCAAGGGAATAAAATGAGAGATTTTCAAAATGATTCAAATGCTTTTGGAACTTAATATTACAAACCAGAAGCAACGTGACAATGGCGAGGACGTGCCGCTGATGACAGACGGGCTGCTGGGCTACGTGCAGTCCTCCCACCCAGCAGCGAGGCACAAAGAGAGCTGGTTGCTCTTAGAAATGGGGCACCTGGTTCAGTGTGAGGAAAGAAAGAAAGAAAATGGAATTGCGCATTTATTCCAGCTGTGGAAGGAAGATAAATTTGACTATTGTGAAATAAAGGATATTATCTGAGACAAACTGAATTTGCATGAATATATAAAAATAAAATAGCTTTTCCCAGTGAAATATTAAAAAAAAAGTGGAAGAAACAGAAGAGGCAAAAATTAACTGATATCATCTTATGCACATATGTGTGTGTGTGTGAATAAATCTATTACAAATATGAAATGTGTATGGTCAATAACAATATTTCACTGAATATATGGCCAAACGGTCAAAAGAGAGAGATGATCAGCTTACACACAAAGGAAATAAAAATAGTAAATTATCATTTCAGACACTTAGATGGTCCCTTGGGAAATGAAAGAAATTTAAAAAACACTTTCAGGGAATTGCTTGCACACTTTTTAAATTAAGAAATGGACAAAGCTAGAATACAATGTAAGGAAATGTATACTTTTATGTACTGCTGTCAACTGGCCTCTAAGTTACCTGGAAATCCATATAACACATGGAACAACAGCTATACGCAGGCATGCATGTACATGTGCAACCATGCACTCTGATTTCTTAAGTCCACTGGCAGAAACTGTACCATCAAAAGGGGAAACAGCCATTTATTTAACAATATTCAGAGTAAAACTATTCACAGTGGGGAAAAAATGAAAACAAATCAAGACCTTAAGAAAGTAAAATGGCTCAATGAACCACAGGATAGCAACAAGATGTCTCATACAGTCTTCTGTTTTACTTGGTCTAAAAAAAATTTTTTTTGCAGGATAGTTGATGTAGAATATTATATTAGTTTCATCTATATAACAGTGATTCACAATTTTAAAGGTTATATTTCAGTTATAGTTACTATAAAATATTGCCTATATTCCCTATGCTGTACCATATATCCTAGTAGCTTATTTTACACATAGTAGTTTGTACCTATTAATCCCCTACTCCTATGTTGCCCCTCCCCGCTTCCCTCTCCTCACTGGTAACCACCAGTTTGTTCTCTATATCTGTGAGTCTGCTTCTTTTGTGTGATATTCACTAGTTCGTTTTATTGTTTTTTTTGGATTCCACATATAAGTGACGTTATTCTGTCTCAGTCTTTCTCTGACTTCTTTCACTTAGCATAATGCCCTTTCAGTGCACCCACACTGCTGCAGATGGTTAAATTTCACTCTTTTTCATGGCTAAGTAGTATTCCATCTTCTCCATCCATTCATCTGTTGATGGACACTTAGGTTGCTTCTCTGTCTTAGCTGTTGTAAACAGTGCTGGTAGGAACACTGAGGTGCAGGTACCTTTTTGAATTAATATTAACATTTTTTTTAAAAGGACACTAATGGGGAAAAAACTAGAAACACAAAGGGAGAAACTCCAATCAATGCTTTGCAAAACAGTGACTTAAGGATATAGATAAAGAATATTTTCCTACACTCTCATTTAGGTACAATGGGCCTGGAAACCAACCTGGTGCTATTCAGCTAACAGCACAAATGTCATTAAGATCTCCTTCCTTTATAACATAACCAGGTCCAGTAGGGACCGTCATCCTCCAATCAAAGGAACATACAGTCAGCTTTATGGCTTATGTTTTTGCAAGGAAAGCAACTGCTGAATTGTCTCGTGGGCTTACCGTGAGTGTGGCAAGGGACATGAAGCCAATTAGGTTATTCCACACTTTATCGATGTCCTTTAGCAACTGCTGGAGTCTCTCGCTGCACACCGCAGTGGCTTTTATCCCCAGCTCCACACGTTTCGTTACCCTGTACACCTCCACAACACCTGACGGGGTGAGCGAGGACAGAGTTAGGTGCTGGAGGGAGAGAAAGAGATCGACAAGACACGGCGGCCTTCTGCTGGCTGATATCCTAGGTGAGACAGGGGCTGCATCCCGACAGATGTGATCTTATTACTCCTTGGGATCAATCAACTTTTTCTTTGGCCCACAACCCCTGGCATGTGGGATCTTACTTCCTTTACCAGGGATTGAACCCGCACCCCCTGAATTGGAAGCATGGAGTCTTTGTATTCATTTATTTTTTAAAAAATTAATTTATTTAATTGGCAGCTAATTACTTTACAATATTATAGTGGTTTTTGCCATACATTGACATGAATCAGCCATGGGTGTACATGTGTCCCCCATCCTGAAGTCCCCTCTCACCTCCCTCCCCATCCCACCCCTCAGGGTCATCCCAGTGCACCAGCCCCGAGCACCCTGTCTCATGCATCGACTGGACTGGTCATCTATTTCACACATGGTAACATACATGTTTCAATGCTATTCTCTCAGATCATCCCACCTTCTCCCACAGAGTCCAAAAGTCTGTTCTTTATATCTGTGTCTCTTCTGCTATCTCGCATATAGGGTTATCGTTACCATCTTCCTAAATTCCATATATATGCATTAATATACTGTACTGGTGTTTTTCTTTCTGACTTACTTCACTCTGTATAATAGGCTCCAGTTTCATCCACCTTATCAGAACTGATTCAAATGCATTCTTTTTAATTGCTGAATATTCCACTGTCTATATGTACCACAGCTTTCTTATGCATTCATCTGCTGATAGACATCTAGGTTGGGAAGCGTGGAGTCTTAACCACTGGATCTCCAGGGAAGCCCAGGAACCATCAACTGTTAACGGTGCAGGATAAACTGCCTGGTGAGAGCACAGACTCTAGAGCTATACCTCGTGGATTCGAGTCCAAGCTCTGCCGCTTCCTAGCTGTGTAACCTCAGGCAGGGAGCAAACCTCTCAGTACCGCAGTTTCCTCATCTGTGACACTGGGGTAACAGTACCTTCTCAAAGGGTGGCTGAAGGGGTTAAACTGGTTAAAATTATAAAAGGCCTAGAACAGCAGTCATTAACCAAATGTTAGCTATTTTTTTTTCTGGCTTCTTTATGAGTCCATCTGTTTGAATTTGGGAATTACAGTTATACTCACTGAAAATGGGAACATTAACAGTTTAAAAGAATCACAGTGTCAGGATCACTATAACGCAAAGGCACACCTTGCTTTACTGCACTTCCCTCTGTTGTGGCTTCTAGATACAAATATATGTTTTGTTTTTTCTTTACAAACTGCAAGTTTGTGGTAACTGTGCATCAAGCAGGTCTATAAGCACCATTTTCCTGACAGCATCTGTTCACTTTGCTTCTCTGTCACAGTTTGGTAATTCTCACAGTAGTTCAAACATTTCCATTATCATCATATTCGCTATGGTGATCTGTGATCTATGATGTTACTGCTGTAGTTGTCTGGGGGCACCATGAAACACGCAGCAGATGTTCTGACTGCTCCACTGACCTGCTCCACCAACCCATCTCCTCCTCCGGCCTCCCTATGCCCTGAGACACGACAACATTGAAATTAGGTCAATTAACAACCCAATGATAGCCTCTGAGTGTTCAAGGCCAAGAGGAGTCTTATGTCTCTCACTTCAAACCAAAAACTAGAAATGATTAAGCTTAGTAAGGAAGGCATGTCGAAAGCCAAGATAGGCCAGAAGTTAGGTCTCTTGTGCCACCTAACCAACTTTCGAAAGAAAGGAAAAATTCTTGAAAGAAATCAAAAGGGCTACTCTAGGGAACACACAAATGATAAGAAAGGAAAAACAGTCTTATGTTGCTGATATGCAGAAAGTCTGAGTGCTCTCGAGAGATGATCATACCAGCTACAACATTCCCTTAAGCCAAAGCCTCATCCCAAACAAGCCCTGACTTCAGTTCTATGAAGGCTGAGACGTAAGGAACCTGCAGAAGAAAAGTTTAAAGCCAGCAGAGGTTGCTCATGAAGCTTAAGGAAAGAAGCCATCTCCATAACATAAAGGGGCAAGGTAAAGCAGCAAGTGTTGATACGGAAGCTGCAGCAAGTTACCCAGAAGATCTAGCTCAGATAATTAACGAAGGTGGCTACATTAACCAACAGATTTTCAACGCAGACGAAATCGCTTTCTTATTGGAAGAAGATGCCATCCAGGAACCTTCATAGCTAGAGAGGAGAAGTCAATGCCTGCCTTCAAAGCTTTCAAGAACAGGCTGACTTTCCTGTTAGGAGCTAATGCAGTTGGGGACTTTAGGCTGAAGCCAATGCTCATTTACTATTTCAGAAATCCTAGGGGCCGGAAGAATTATGCTACATCTACTTTGCCTGTGATCTCTTTATAAGTGGAACAACAAAACCTGGATGATAACACATCTGTTCACAACATGGTTTACAGAATATTGTAAGCTCACTGTTGAGGCCTACTGCTCAGAAAAAAAAGAAAAGAAAAGAAAAAGATTAAAATATGACTGCTCACTGACAATACATCTGGTCACCCAAGATCTCTGGTAAAGACACACAACAAGATTAATGTTTTCATGCCTGCTAATAATAGAACATCCATCCTGCAGCTCATGGGTCAAGTAATAATTTCAATTTTCAAGTCTTAGTCTTTAGGAAATACATTTTGAGAGGTTATAGCTGCCACAGATGGTAATTCCTCTGGGAGATCTCGGGAAAGTAAATTGAAAACCTCCTGGAAAGGATTCACCATTCTAGATGTCATTAAGAACATCTAGGATTCATGGGAAGAGGTCACAGTATCAACAAGTGGAATTTGGAAGAATATGATTCCAATCCTCATGAAGTCTTCCAAGACTTCAGTGGAGGAAGTAACCACAGACATGATGGGAGTAGCAAGGGAATTAGAATTAGAAGTGGACCCTTTAGATGTGACTAATTTGCTACAATCTCATGATAAATCTTTAACAATGAGCAAAGAAAGTGGTTTCTTGGGGTAGAATCCACTCCTGGTGATGACTGTTAAAATGACAGCAAAGAACTTAGAATATTATATAAACTTAGCTGATAAAGCAGCACAGATTTCAAGAAGATTGACACCAATTCTGAAAAAAGTTCTCCTGTGGGTAAAATGCTATCAAACAGCATTGCATACTATATAGAGAAACTGTTCATTAATGAGAGTCCATTGGTGAAGCAAACTTCATTATTTTAAGAAATGGCCACAGCCACCTCAACCTTCAGCAACTACCACCCTGATCTGCCAGCAGTCATCAACTTCAAGGCAAGAGCCTCTACCAGCAAAAATTATGGCTTGCTAAAGACTCAGATAGGTGATGGCTAGCCTTTTTTAATCAATATTTTTAATTTAAGGTTTTTCAGACATAATGCTACTGCACACTTAATGGACTACAGTCATAAACCAAAATATTCATGCAACTCGCTTCACTGAGCTATAAGCTTTACTGCAGTGGTTTGGAATCAAACCTGCAATATCTCCCAGTGAAGTGAAAGTAAAAGTCGCTCAGTTGTGTCCAACTCTTTGCAACCCCATGGACTTTACAGTCCGTGGAATTCTCCAGGCCAGAATACTGGAGTGGGTAGCCGTTCCCTTCTCCAGGGGATCTTCCCAACCTAGGGATCAAACCCGGGTCTCCCACATTGCAGGTGGATTCTTTACCAGCTGAGCCACAAGGGAAGCCCAAGAATACTGGAGTGGGTAGCCTGTCCCTTCTCCAGGGAATCTTCCTGACCCAGGAATCGAACTGGGGTCTCCTGCATTGTAGGCTGATTCTTTACCAACTGAGCTATCAGGGAAGCCCCAATATCTCCCAGGTCTGCCTGTAATTAGGAAATATTTCACCCTTCTGAATGCCCAAAGATTTACAAAGTCTGTGGCTTCATGTGTATCTTTTATACACTTAACGACACAGGATGGTTCTTTTCCTGTGGTCTCTGAATTACGGCTGAATTCTTCCAGCAAGGATGAGAGATGCCAAGGTCTCCAAAGACTAAGGACAGCTGCCAGGCATAACCCAAACCCTCCCCCAGCCTGTTCCAGAGAGAACTAGAAGAATGCCAGGGGGTCTTCAGTGGTACACGCTCAGCCTATATACAGCACTGCAGCTTGTCCTTCCTTCCTTCCTTCCTTCCCCAGGGGAAGGTTAGGAATTGCAGCCCACTCTGAGCCAAGTGAGGGGGCTTCTGATCAATCTTTCATACCAGGAAACTACTAGAGGGAAGGACAGGCACCCCATGAGCTGGTGAGCATTTGTTTATGAAGCAGAATTATGCCTGTCTGAGCAGGAAAGAGGAACAAGAGCAGAGGGCAGGAATAAGGAGAGTTCACAGCCCTTCAGAGGCACTCACCCAGACAGTATACGCCAGTGACCACTGTGTGCCCAGCACTAGGTGAGGTGATGGAAACCCAGCCGGAAGCAAAACACACCCAAATCTCCCCCTTCTTGGAGGTGGATTTTAGTGGAGACAGACAGATAATAGATACAAATAATAGAAAGTAAAATATTTAAGATAGTAAATGTGACAGGGCTAGGGAGAAAATCAAGTGGGGAGACGGACAGCAAGGGACAGGGTGGGGAGAGGGAACACGGTTTTGAGTAAGAGGGGCAAGAAGACCTTAGAAGGTGACATCTGAGCAAAGGTCTGAAGGTTAGGAACAGTCTAGTGCCTGTGGTTCTGGCTACAGGCAAACCCTGAGCAGGAGACGACCACTGAGGAGGACAGGGACTGAGATTTCATGTTGGACTGTGAGATCTCTGTTGGGATGTGTGAGAGCTGAAGCCAGCCAGGAAGTTAAGGAATCTGTGAGGCTAGTAAGGGGTAGAAAGGCAGAATTCAACAGAGCATGGTAGAACTGATTGGGGCCCCAATAATTTAATTTTCTTTTTTAAACCAATGATTTAATTTTAATGCCTCATCTAGTTCAGACTCTTTGATAAACCAGTAATGTGACTTTACATTGTGTATAACAAGGACTGGGAAACCTGGCCACAGAGACCTTAAGTCAAATAGTTGTTCCTCAGTAGGATTTAAGTGTCTTATCTATAAAAGCAGAAGCTACTTAGTGAAGTCCTATGAGGCCTGAGAGATCTAGATTAAACTACTTGACATAGGGACAACTGAAAAGCCTCCAAAGTGTCATGATTTTGAAGAAGTAAAATATGAAAGCACATACCTAATAAGTATTCCATGCCTTGAGCTGACTGAATTACTTCTGTGCATACAGAGCTACTACTGATTCCATTTAAGGTATCATTGGCCTTCTTAATGACCTACAAAGAAATGAAATCACATCACCTTACATAACCAGGAAAAGTCATCACAAAGCAGTTTACTATTAGTAGAAAACCCAGCGGAAAGCTGGGAGGTATGAAAACACATGACTGACTGATGTATGTAGATGACTATGCTGAAACAAATCTGAGAATTTAATTTTGACATTGACGAACCAAGCCTCCGTTTTTTTGGAAGTGAAAAGACAAAGGTTCTTAAGCTTAAATATTATTTTAACTTGGGCAGAGTTACATTTTGTTACATCTTTAACTCAGTGACAGAGAGGGCACCGTAAGTCAAGTGAGCGGTATCTGCCACAATAGGTGGGAAAGAAGCCTCACTGAAGACGTGTGACTTTCCACACAGGTCCTCTAGAGCAAGGCCGTCGAGGCAGAGCTCGCCCCGAGTCCATCCAAAGGAACCCAGAAGGCAAGATGACACAAGAGGCATATGTGGACATGTGAAAACATGGAAGAGACAGACTCACCTCCAGAGCACTCCCCAGACACCGCTGCCATTCATAGGCATACCTCTCATTCTCCTGTGAAATTTATAAAAAGAACTGGGTCAAGCGGGCAAGCCTGGAGTCCTACTTGTACCTTCTGTCAGGTCAGAGTCCTGAAGACTTACGTCCGTGTCTATGAAAACCACTAATCCAAGTGCAGTTGATCATCTGAACCCACTAATGATGATTTTTATTGATAGTTCCTGATAACTATAACTTCTAAACACGCTTCTTGTAAACCAGAGGGAAATGGTTTTTAGTGGATTCCCTTTGTAAACACTGCCTCATTTGTTCCATTAATAGTGGAAGCTTCTTTAAAGGTATGCACCACATAGGTATCTAGCACAAGAGCCAGCATCAAACCACAGCTTCCTGCTCCACAGTCAGGAAGCGATATGTACGAGTGAGCGCGGGTCTGACAAGGATGGGGAGGAGGATGCTAAGAGTGTGGGCTGGAGGAGGAAGCAGCATGGGATGAACGTTAACCGTGAGAGGATCCAGCACGTCTGCCCTCTCTTTTTTTAATGTGGGCCAATTTTTAAATTAGCTACAATATTGCTTCTGATTTTTTTATTTTTTTCTTTTTTTAATGTCTTGGTTTTTTGGCCATGAGTCATGTGGAATCTTAGCTCCCTGACACTGAATCCATATCCCCTGCGCTGGACAGTAAAGTCTTAACTACTGGGCTTCCAGGAAGTCCTCCATGTCCCCACCCCTAGCACCACCTTTTGAGGTTTTACCACTAAGATGATAAAGTCCACATGCTCAAAAAGAACTCCCTGAAGAAACACTTCCCTCCTTGCGAGGTCTCAGGAATAATTCCACTTTTAGGGTCACTAACTACTCGCAGTGATGTCACATCTAGGAGGAATCCTCATCCAGGGCTAAGATCACCATGCTCTCACTTTAGCGACACATCTCATGCTCGAGGCCTTGGGATGGTCTGCCCTGCGTTCCCCCAGGTGACTGAGGCAAGGATTTCTCTCGGGGCCCTGGGTGCTCAGCCCCCGGGGACGAGGAGCCCGCTCACCTCCACCTCTCCCGTCAGGTCTTTGTACTTGTCACGGATGACGGGCAGGGCAGGCTTCTCACTCAGCGTGTTGGAGCGGTCCCTGAAAGGCTGCTCCAAAGCCGGAGAAGGAGAAGAGCGGCTTATTTCTTTATCACCAAGGCTTAGGCTCCTCTTGTGCGATCCTGGGGGAGATGGATGGCACAAAGGTGCTGATTACTCAGCTTAATCCAAGCAGAGGCTCTTCCTTGCTAACACGACGCTCTTCTCTAGATCCTGGTGTCAGGAAGGGGTCAGAACCACACTTCTCATTTGGCCTGTCTGGCAAGCGACACATTGAACCCTTTCCCTTGTTCTCCCGTGCCTGAGTCCCCTGCCTTTAATTTTCTCCATTACGCTTCTTTTATCTGTCAGAATACTTCCATAATTCTGAGCGTGGGATCACTGGAGTCTGGAGGACTAGGGTCTTTCTAACTATCAGTGTGCAAGAGTGTGGCTGCTTTTCCAGTCATCACCTGTGGATTGGTACTGACTTCCTCCATCCTTCTCAATGAACAGAAATCAATGAGCCCTTCTGTCAGGGTGAGATTAAAACCAAAGGGGCAAACTCAAATGCCTTCAGAGGGCAGGCGGGCAGAGGAAGTGACTGAAGCAGGTTAGCTGGAGAAAAACGTGGTGGGAATCACATCGTCTGCAGGAGGGGATGATGCGACTCAGCTCCTGCTGGTCATCAAGACGTGGGAACGCAGGCCTAGGACTGCCAGATATTATGCCTTTCCAAGAAAAGCCAGAAATCCAGGTTGTGAAGTGTCACGGTTTTTATGCACTGGCAATTGCTTTACACATTAGAAATCCTTCAGTGTGGGTCAATCAAAACAGGTCTGCAGACTGGACCCAGATCCACAGGTACTACATGGCACCTCAGGATGAAAAGATAAAACTCTGTAGCCAGGGATCAAGAGCAGAACTCACTGGCCCACACGGCGTCAAACCATTTCTCTGGCTCTTCTAACACAGCACACTTCTCCCCAAAACAAGCCAACAAACTGACCATGTGCTGCACTTAATTTTAACCCCAAAGCTGTCATCTGATGAATACTGGTTTCAGTTCAGTCTCAGGGAAACCCTCTTTTATAGTCCTTTGTCACAGACTCTGATTTTACACACTGGAAAACAGATTTCTTGCTAACCGAGGGACCAACTTCTTATTCTAAGAAAGAACTAACACTTAAACGCAGTGGAAGAAACCATGGTGTAAAATCTGTGTTGAAAGCTACTCACCTTGAACAGAAAGGTCAAAGGTTGCTAGCTCACTTTTGATCATTTCTTCGCTGGATTTCATTTTGCCTTGTGAATTGGCCACTAAAAAGTCAAATTTGCTGATTTTGGGCTTCTCACTCTGAAACTCTCCGAAGTCATCTGCGCACTCCTTGGTGGTGTCGTGAGAAGCGCTGCTGGAGGCCGGGCTCAGGCACGCGGCCTCGTGGCTCCGCTCGCCTACAGGCAGGTCTTGTCTGGCGAAATCCCTGAAGTCCCCGCTTTCATATTCCTTTGGCTCGCTGGCCTGTGGGATCACATCCTTAAAATTGGCGAAAGCTGGAAAGGTGGTCTCTGGAAGGGGATCCTCGCTGGCGAAGGTTGTGACTTTGGAGAGAGATGTCACGGTGAGGTTTTCGGAACTGCCGAATGAAGTCTCTTTCTTTTGAAGAACTGAGGCGGCTGATGAGGCTCCGCTTCCTGCTGAGAGGACAAATGGGGACAGTTTTCTGCCCTGAGAGGCATCATCCCTGTCTGACCAGTCATAGCTCGTAAGTGTGCTCACTGCAAAATTGCTACTGTAGGTTCCAAAAGCAGCATATTTTAAGTCCTCTATATCTGAAAGGGAAATAAGACCCCACAATTAGAGGCAAGCTCACCATGGAGGCAAAATGCCCTAAACTCTGCAGAAGCAAAATGTCTAGCGTCTTTGATTAGTTTCATGTGATATTGGAATTGACTAAATTTAGAGCTTGTACTAAAATTAAAGGAGCTGGGCTGTAAAATCTGATCTTTAAAAACCCACATTAGCCTTGAGCTGGCATTTATATTTAGTAACAAGGAGTCCTTTTCTTCCGATACGACAGTTCCTAAAAAAAAAAAAAAAAGATAGGAGGTTCGTCCACCAATGTATATACTGTTTGATAGAAGGATAGGGTCATTTAATAAAATGTCCATTCACTTGTAAACTTGAATATGTATTTACAATACTCCCTGCCCAAACAAGTCTCTTACATTTTGACTTCATTGGAACATGTTCATTTATAACATGCTCATAAGAAATGTATATGACACACTAATTAAAAATCGACTATCTTGAAACTAAAGTTAAAAAAAAAATGTTATAGCCAACTTTTCAACAATTACTAGGAGTTTCTGTCTAGGCAAGGCCAAATAGGAGATTTTAATTAAGTAGTTACTTACCCAGTTGTTATTTTGATCACTATGGACGTCATACTGCTGTGATGGAGTATGAGGGAAAAAAATCAATCTAAGCTATGGAGTATGAGGGAAAAAAAAAAATCAATCTATGCTAACTTTTGCCTCTAAACAAACAGAATCAAAGGTCTGGGTCCTCCTGGGCTCTTGTTTCTCTTTCAACTGTGTGTAACTGCCTCATTAAAAAAGGAAAAGAAAGAAACGCTGGGGCAGAAGACTCATTTTACATGCTTAATATATATTTAAATAATTTAAGAGGTGGCACCAAACAGCAAAAAGAATATAGGTTTTTAATTCAGACAGACCTGCATTCAACTCCCAGCTGCGCCACCTACCACTTGTGTGACACTAGGCGTGCTATTTAATATCTCAACTTTGGCTTGCTTATATGCAAAAAAAAAAAAAAAAGAAGACCAGGCACGTGGCAGGGCTGTGTTGTGACATTAATGACAGTGTGTGTAAAGGGACCAGCCCAGAGTCTAGTGAAAGTGAAGTCGCTCAGTCGGGTCCAACTCTTTGCGACCCCTTGGACTTGTAGCCCACCAGGCTCCTCCGCCCATGGAACTCTCCAGGCACGAATAGTGGAGTGGGCTGCCATTTCCTTCTCCAGGAGATCTTCCCGACTCAGGGACTGAACCCGGGCCTCCCGCACTGCAGGCGGACGCTTTACCCTCTGAGCCACCAGGGCAGTCTCACAGAGCCTAGTGAGCAGTACAGCAATTATTACACAGCACAGCTGCCACCAGCCTCACTGTGAAATTTAGCTGCCTGCCTTGGGGCTTAAAATAGAATCGTTTCAAAGTAAAATGTGAAAAGTCAACCCATCACTTTGGTCATCTTGGTAAAGAGAATTTCTTGCCCATTTTCTTGAAGCCAAACCAGCTGTGGCTGAGTCACATTGGCATGGAGAAGCCACCTTTCTAGCACTATGGTCCATTCAATCTGTCCAAGATGCATTTGGTCTCATTTTGGTCACTGTCGACCAGGTGAGAAGGTCAAATGCAAGACTCCCTCTCCAACAACCAAAAGCAGGGCTTGTGAGGAAAACGCTTGAAAAGTTCTGTGACCCAGATTCTAATAACTCAGTTAACAGGTGAGCCAGCACTGGGCCTCTCCGTTTTCTCTTACACAGTGATGCTGCCTGGTTTATCAGAGGGAAGGGATTCCTGACATTGCTCCTCCAACAGTGCACCCCAAGCTTCTCTCTCAGTCCTATTAGGAAAAGGGCACTAACTTAATATAAACAGGAGGGGAAGAAAAGATTTAGGTGAAAACGTACAGTTCAGAATGAATGAAACAAGACTTTACACAGAATGCCTTCTTAGTCTCTGGCTGTAGTGTTTGCTTTCCCCTCTACTGAAAGGGATCAGAGGGTTCCCTGACTCAAATTAAGTGAAATTCAATCAGAAGGCAGATGCAGTTAAACACAAGATGAGTGAGTCTGCAAAGGGTTCATTCAGAAGGATGTGTCACAACATAAAATTTTATTAGATCCTACCAGAAAGCTCTTTGAAGAAGCTATGTTATGAACTACTCCTAGAATCTCATCTACTAAATTGGTAGCTATTTTCATAGAGACCAAAGATACATTTAATAAAAAGTTAAGCTCTTGTTCAACCACAACTAAGTTGCTATGGTAATAAAAAAAGATCCTTTTGTGCAATTATGCAACAAGGAAAAAAAAGTTAAAAAAAAACCCAGAAATTATTGTGCTATAATCAGGTAAAAGGCATTATAAACACTAAGGGAATACCTTAGTTGAAGAGCTTTCAAGTATTTTGTGTAATACTTAAGGTCTTCAACAAATCTTATTTTTATTATGAATGATAAACACAACATTTTGCCTTTTGGAACAACTCACAGAAATGACCAAACAAAAGACTAAAATGGAAATATTTTGTATTCTAAAAAATAATGAAGAGTAATTATACAGGATATATGAAAGTTAAACCTCAAGGCTGATTCTTAAATTTTACTTTCACTTATTTACTGGCTAGACAGTGTAAAAAAAAAATAAGTTGCTAAAGTGCAATTCATTTGGACACAAAAGGAAGTGCTGCTATTACATAAGGAACACGAGAATACTGAATTCCTAAACCATAGCACTTTATAAGCAATATAAAAATGAGTTGTATTTCCTGGCATGGTGAATATTAGTAAACCATTTTTTTTTTAATGTGGTAAATCAGTTCACTAAGAATAGGTTAAACCAAGAAAATTCTTCATTTCCCACATTAACAGTTCTGTTTTCTAAGCAATCAAATGATATGTATTATTGTATGTTGGTCTTAAAAACATTAAATATTCTGCAAAACCTACAACATGAGTGATATTGTAACCACTGAAGTTACTGTAGGTGAGTTTTCAATTTGACAGCTGAATTCTGAAAACTGCAAGAGAAAAAGGAAAAGAAAACAGAATGGATGCAATAAAAGGAATAGAGAATCACTACTGTATTTTCAATTCTACTGGAAAACTCTTCGGCTGTGCTGGATTGAACTGCAACTGCACACAGATAATGCACCAAATTGTGTGCTTTAATATACGTATTTGTTTGCAACTAGCAATGTCCTATTACCAAGCCAGAGGAATAAACTACACAATCTGCTTTCCATCATGGGTCTCAAATCAAGACACGGATTTCCTGCTTATGCTGGCAAGTAACCCCATCAGTCTCTCCCATAACCTCTATTCAAATCCCATCTGAATGGATGTTATACATGAGAACAAGGTATTTCCTGGAACAAAGAATGTGAGCTGCCACTACAGAATGCAGAAGTCCACACTGTTTTCCATGGATCTTTTCTAAAACTCTAAGCATGTGCCCAGGTGATTAAGAGTTACTAGCTTCTGAGAAAAGCATTTAGAAAAAGAAAAAAAAAAAAAAAAACAACAGATATATGTGCAAATTCCACCACTCCTCAGTGTTTAACTGGCAATAAAAATGTTCATTGATTGGAGTAAGGAATTTCCAATACTGATTTAGTCCAAACTCTGTTTTACCAAAGCAAATCATGAAATATTTATACACTTAAACTTCTGTCCATTTCTGGTCTTACTCTTCCTTCTGAGATCAGTCATGTTCACATTCTCTGTTACCTGTAGTACCTGGTCTGACTGTATTGTCTTAAGTATCAAACACCCAGACGGTGTTGTTAAAGAAAACAGGAATGAAAGTGATCACACTGTAGGCATGACAGGCCATAAAATGCTGCTGTATAATCGCCTTCCAGTATTTTCTAACCTGCATAGAAACCTACCATTCTCCATCTGTACGGACCCATGTAAATCTAAGGTTTAAGCGCTGTCAGGCTATCAGTAAGCACCTGCAGGCTTCTGGGTCGGTGTTTTAAGTTCAATTAAAAAAAAAAAAAGGTAATCCTATGGATATTTTCAGTTGGAGGAAGCAGAAGGCCATGGAACAGTGCCAAGACAAACAGTGGGACATGGTCATCATTAAAAAAACATTAAGTGAGCACAGAAGATGGCAATTACAACTGGAGCCTTTTGGCCACGCAAGGGAGAGAGCAGCACCCAGGAAAACCTCCTAAGTATATCACCCCATATATAGTGACCCTATATAGCCAATGGGCCAACAGTTTCCAAAACAACTTATGAAAAGCATGCAACTGATGGAAAAACGAAGCTGGAAGCTCTTTAAAAATAAAATGGCTTGATTTTTTTCAGTTACTTTAGGATTTAGCCCAGCTTCTTTGATATTGACAAAATTATCACCATGTTCATCAGCTACTTTTAAAAAATCAGTAGGGATTTTAATGAGAAAAACAGAGCAATTGTAAAATATAAATACACCTGAATAATTTCTCAGATACTGAAGTGTGAAGTCAAGCACTAACCACATCTCACTTTACCTGGCATGGGGATAAACAAAATAGTATTTCTGGTTTGCTGGAACTTACAGAAGAGAATACAGTCCTTCAAATCTTTGTAAGTTTATATTGTTATATGTATTATCAAAACTTTCTCCCTAAAAAGTAGTGTTACTTTTATTAATTGGCTCCACTTATGAATGTGATTATGTTTTATGCACAGTTATGTTCATTTTCTGCGGCCTGATTTAAAGGAGAAAGGAGTTAAAGCAGCCCCAGATGGACCATTCTACCACTAAACTCCACTGACAAAAGAATTCCTTTACCAAAGCCAAAAGACTGGCATGAGAAAATTCTAAACAAAAGGCAACAGATATTGCTAGATAGAAGCTACACCAAAATCTTTCTTCCAAATTAGTTAGCACAGATTATAATTAAAACATAATATGATTACACAAGGTTTTGCAAACCAAGTATTATTCAACTTGCTAAAGCATTATGCTCTGGAAAACATGATATTTTGAAGTGTAGACCCACATTTTCTTAGTCTCAATATGCAATCTCCGTGCCTCCCCCCCCCCCCACATGGCATACTTCAGGTACTGCAAGTAATCTCTCAGGAATTCTATTCAAAATCTTCACCTTCAATGGTTTAATTTCCTTTCTGACTCAATTTTTTAAAAGGAAGTGTCAAAATATAAGAAAAAAAATTAAAACCATGCAAATAACTCCTTTTCCCCAAAGTTTTTCCCTACTATTATACTCCAAAGTGGTAAAAAAAAAAAAAAAAAAAAATTTTGGCTTACTCTTGTGGCTGACTTTCATGGGTCTTTCTAAAAAAAGAAATTCTTTTCTTAAAAATGCAAAGAGCTAAGAACTCGCCTCGTGGACTAAGTTAAAAAAGACCAAAGGAAGGTGGCTTCATAATACATTCTGAAGCTGGAAAGGTAATGCACTCTACAGTTAGAGAATGAAGTACCCAACTTCAAACTCAAATCAAATCCAGTCCTGGAGACTCCCTAGTATTAACAAGAACACTTTCTGTTGCAGAGACTATCATTCTAAATTTGGTTCACATATACCCTGTTCAGAAGTCCATCTCAATATCATTTGATAATTTAATTTATAGATACTCAGAGAAGGCAATGGCACCCCACTCCAGTACTCTTGCCTGGAAAATCCCATGGACAGAGGAGCCTGGTAGGCTGCAGTCCATGGGGTCATGAAGAGTCAGACATGACTGAGCGACTTCACTTTCCCTTTTCACTTTCATGCACTGGAGAAGGAAATGGCAACCCACTCCAGTGTTCTTGCCTGGAGAATCCCAGGGACGGGGGAGCCTAGTGGGCTGCTGTCTATGGGGTCACACGGAGTCAGACACGACTGAAGCAACTTAGCAGCAGCAGCAGCGGCAGTTATTGACAGATGTGGCCCTCTTTCCCCAACACTAAACTGACGTCTTTCCTTTCTCTTCTCAGTTTAACTCCTAGTTGAGGCAGCCACCAAGATGTTTACAAAGCAATAAATATACTCAGTTTTGTCACTAGAGGTAAGGAATAAAATTTCTAACATGTAATAATGTAAGGTTTACACTTTTTAAACGTTTTAAGTTATATTTTAATCCAATGCCATGTTAAACAGTTATATCAGTGGCATTATAAGAAGAGAAGGCTAAAATGTACCAATACTTTCTTAGGAAAAAGGTGTTTGAGGAAACAAAATAAACAAAAAGGAAAAAACCCTCTAACCACAGGAGGGTTTAAATTTGATATGGACCAGGTATTTTACTTTGGTCTAACCCTGGAGAAGTATAAATTACACACATCCCCACACTTTCAAAATATGCCAAAGAATTATTTATTAACGTAGGACTTACAGATCACAAAAGAGAGTGATACAGAAGAGCTGGAAAAAAAGTCATCAGAATAAGCATGCAGATCAGTATTTGCAGAGGAATATACCAAAGCAAGTTTGAAAAGGCACATTCACACAGAAAATGTCCCAATTGAAAAAAAAAAAGACATCAGAAAAGCAGCCAAAAAATAATAATAAGGCGCTGATTAAAATACAAAGATTTTCAATGTCAAAGAAGAGCTACTTTACAAGTAGGTAAGTAGGGAGCTACAGAAGTCTTGCTAACCCTTTGACAGTGTCACAAAGAGGGTCAGCTCTTGCTGCCAACGAAACCAGATGATCTCAATGACTGCACATCAAGCTGCTTTAGTGCTGAGAGATTCAATTTAGTGGGGGTGGGGTTGGGGGCGGGGGACAAAAGCAGCCTAGTTGAAATTATATGCAGCAAGGGCTCAAAGGGTTAAATGTAATAATACGCAGAGAAATCAGGCAATGTTATTAGTATTATCTACCTTCCATACAAAGAATCATAGCAGGAGTTAAAAGAGACAGTATCCCCTTCAGAGTTAAGTTAGGGTTTCCAAACAGGATTAAGGTCCAGAGATAAACTACTAGGTCTTATTCTCTCTTCATCAGCTCACTTCTTATTTCTCCAACAAAATGTACCTTTTAATCCACAATCTGAGAGAGCAAGAGCTACTGTGGTCAAGATGAGGATAATGTAAAACCAAACTGCACTGGAGAAGTCTCTGTCATTTACCTTCTCCAATACATTCACGCAGCAGTTCTGCTCAAGAACAATACAGCTCATTGGTCAGACATCAACCCCTTTTACAACCACTCTAAAGGGATACTGCTCCTTTCGGACAGGAGGTTTACAGATCAAAAGGAGAGAACAATCCGCTTTTAAGAATGTCCTCAAATTGAAGAAACTTGGCTTGAACATTACAGGTTCCAAGCTGGGAATGTTCCAAACATACATAAAAGGACATGAGCACAGAAGATTATTTTAACAGGTCAATCAGAACAAGCTCAGTCACGAAACCAATCTCCCTTCCCAAAATGGGAAATAAAAAAAAAAGACACCCCAAGCCCAGATTAGACTCATCTCATAATGACATCTAGTTTGGCACTGTGAAAGAATAGAGACTCACTTTCAGAAAAATAGCTTCTAATTCATAACTTCAGAGTCCAAAAGGCTAGAGTACATGTCATGAGATTTTAAAATAAAAAGTCACTATTATTGTTCAGAAAACAAAGCGCTTTGCAACCAACTGCTGTAACTTAAGCAGCTCATACAAAAAAGAGAAACAGAATCTCTCCAGCAAACAAAGAGCAGCAAAAAAGAAAAAAGAAAAGAAAAACATCTGAAGAAAAGTACATTAAAAAAAACAAGTAGACAGCAGGGGCACAAGTTGCCCTGCAGACAGCCCACTGCACTTGGCAAAGGCCTTAGCAAAGAGCCCGTGGAACACAGCACTCCTCCAATACCTTGCTCCCGATTCAGCACCCTGTTTAAGACCATTTCCAACCTCTCAATAGCCAAAGGATGGATGTAATTTTGCTTTCTGACTTGACCAATTTGATGCATGCAAAAGCCGTCATACTTTACAACTTCTGCCTGAATCTGTAAACTTGGGAGTGTCTTGTGTGTCTCTCTCCAGTTAAACAACAATGAACCCTTCACACATGTATGCATTTTTCTGGAATAATACAGTAATGCTGAGATAGTTCTCATTATTAAAGGCCACAAAATAGGTGTATCTTTCTATATATATATCAAAGAACAAAACAAAATAAACACTAGGACACTTGGGAATCTAGTCTTTCTGACAGGAAGTTGGACAGAGAATCAACTGCTACACGTAAATCCATATGGAATTTAAACAGGGTTCCCTTCTAAGATGTTCTCAAACGTTTTCTGAGGAAGTTAGCAGTTACCCTATTCTACCGTCTAAGGTCTGTTACAATTTAATACTTCTGGTCATAGCACTAGCACTGAAAACCTTACCTGAATTCCACTAACACCTGGTGCCCTTCTCCGTGCCAGGCCCTGGCACGCAGGGCGCCCACACACAAGTTCTTGCCCTCTTCTCTTGTAGGGATGTGGCAAACTGCAAGATCACTGGCTAGACATTTTTACTTACTTGGCCTAACACGAGTTGGTTTCTGCAAACCAAAAAGAATACTCTATGGGCAGCTGACAAACATACCCGGAGAAGAAAAAAGGAGGAAACCCTGACCTCACTCACAGAAACAGAGGGACATGACTGACACCGCCAATGTCTTTATAACATTTCTGGCAATGTGCGGCTCGTTTAGCAGTGGATTTTGATGTGCCTCGAACACCAAGCTGGTGTCAGGTTTCAAACGTCAAACTATTTTAGCTATCCAAGTTTCACTGTATTCACGGTAACCACATATCCGAGTAGCCAGAGAATCAAAAGCAACACTGCTTTAAGGGGACCGGCAATGAAGAGGTTAATTATCAGACATTCATAAAGGTTAAGAGCCAGAGCCTTCCTCTTCTGTAAATGAACACCCACAGAACCACCTCTGACATCTGCGTCACCATCACCAGAGCAATCTCACCAATTCCTCACCTGCGGCAGGAGGATGCTGGCCACTAACTGTCGGTAAATCCAAAGAGCTATCAGACATGACATGCTTAAGCTCTCCTCCCACATCAGCCAGTTTCATGTCAAACTGAACAGAGAGTGCGTCTTCTGAGTCCTCCTTGCCGACACTGCTGCCCCCGATGGAAGGGAGATCGAGGGACTTCACCGAAGCAGAGTCTTCTTTGGTGTGTCTGAAAGCCACCGCTTTCTCTCCCAGGGATTTGTCCGAGTTCATGGAGGAAAATTTACTGGAGTGGAAGTCAGCAAAATCATCATCGCTCTTGCCCGAAGAAGTGCTGTCTTTCAGCTCTTCACCACCTAGTCCAGATCCCTCCAGAGAGAGCTGTTTGAAGACGTCGTATTTCGTGGACGAGGCAGCAGAGTTTTGTCCACTCTTCCCTGCGATGCCTGTGCTGCTGGTCAGGGGACCAGGACTAGCTTCCTCTTTAAGCGCCTCATATTTGTCATCTGCCTTTTGCTCTGATGAAACAGAACTATTACTGAAAGCCATAAAATCTGCAAAGTCATCCTGTTCCCCGACAGAGGCTGGACTAGAATATTCCCCGAAAAGGTTGAATTCTCCAAAATCATCAGCCAAACCAGCAGTCTTAGTTGACACCAATGCTGTACTGGGTGCTGCAGACCCTGCTGGCTGGGGTCGTGTGGAAACGGATTTGGATCCGCTGAATGCAGCTGAAAAGGACAACGGTTTCTCACTGCTGCAAGTAACGGAGGAAAACATATCTAGATCTGCTAAGTTCAGAGGATTTTTCACTTGTGTTTGTGGTTTCTGCTGGGTAGCTCCTGAGGGGAAGGTGGCTGGAAAAGGCTTGTCTTTTGCTGGTGGCTCTAGTGGTGAGATACTATCGGCGGTTTTAAAATCAGTGAAGCCATCATCGGCCCCTGCAGATCTGAATTCTGCAAAGTTTTCTCCTGAAAGAAAAAATAACCAAATACAGAAGAATGCCGAGCTGAAAGGCACACAATGCAAAACATGTTAAGAACAAGCACATTACAGACGTTTGTCTCCCGGGCTTCACATTATTTAATCATTAGTTTGATAATACCTTACACCATGTATCCCTTTTGTATCCACACTGAAGGCTAGCGATAGAGAAACAAATAAAAATCAAACTGAACACATGATATCATTTTCATTTTCTCATTTCAGCGTGTAAGTCTGTACCAGAGCCTTCAACTGGCTGAAAGCATTGCTCTCAGGATGTTTCCTCACTATGGCTACGCAGCCAAGCCTCCAGGAGAATAAGAAATGGGCACTGGAGGTTCCTGAAGAGGGGTATATTAAAATCATGGCCCTTCAAAGATAAAATGTGTAACACAGTGATCAATCAGGGAAAAAAAAATCACGGTACCTATGAAATATTACAAAGAATCTTGCATCAAATATTTAGGATATACAAGACTCTACTCAGTTAGGCACTTAAAGCTTATGGTTAGATACTATGTGGTTTTGCTGAAGTAAACAGAGGCATTAATTTGAAGGAAATTTGGTGACTGGACTAGAATATTCCCCGAAAAGGTTGAAAAGGCATCTATTTGCTTGCAAAGCATTTTTTCTCAGGGCATATTATAAGGTATTGATAGCTTCTCCCCACGCCATGCAACAAATAAACTGAATCTTACAAAAAAAAAAAATCTATGAGTACTTGGGGTTTTCTTGAAATCAGCCATCTCACGGTACCAATCAGCTCTTGTTCTTATTAAAATTCAAAGGGATCTGAACACCAATTCTGTTATTAAAAATTTTGAGGGTTGGATTTAAACTTTATTTTATACTGGGCTACTCTGGAGATAGAGTTGCTGACAATTTATTTTGTTAGTTAGAGAAAATAGGTACTAAGGTATTTCTCAGAAATAATTAAACAGATACAGTTAAGATACTGGTAAAAGTCTGGGTCATGGTTCTCAGTAGGGTTTCTGTTCTTTGTTTTCACAGTCATGTTATCACGCGGGCTCCCCCGGTGGCTCAGATGGTAAAGACTCCACCTGCAGTGCGGGAGACCTGGGTTCAATCCCTGGGTTGGGAAGATTGCCTGGAGGAGGGCATGGCAACCCACTCTAGTATTCCTGCCTGAAGAATCCTCATGGACAAGAGGAGCCTGGTGGGCCACAGTCCATGGGGTCGCAAAGAGTCGGACACAGCTGAGCGACTAAAGCACAGGAGAGCGTGTAATCACTCAGGTGTGACATGAGGACGTTCAAACAATTTCCATTTGCTAATAGCACCTGAAGATCGCCCACAAAAGCCATCAGGTTATACCAGGTAATGAGAGCCAGAGGTAAACCAATTATAAATATAGCTATAGTAATGTCACTTGTTATTTAAAAATATGAGTGCCATTCTGGAGAGTTATAAACTAAAACACAAGAAGCTTTAATTTCCTCATCTACTTTTTAAAATCATATTTTTCCATAAAAATGAGATAAAGAAGCATATAAACTAGAAAAATGTACATAAAATCAAAATATAATTCTGAAAATCATGAAAATAATATAGGCTTTAAATATTCTGTGCTTGTAACATGATATATATTTTGATATATCATATGAAAAAAAGCATGGAAAATAATGGAAGCTTACTTTTCCTCCTAATCTGAGATATTTAACCAATCCACCAGCATAATTTATCAACACAGAGAAATCTGTTTACCATTACTAGGGAAATTTTAGAAAGATAGGAAGAGCATTCAGAGTTTCTGTAGTTTATGTTTTCATACATACCATTAGTAAAACTAAAGTCAATTTCACAAATTGACAGGAGAAGCAGATATGAAACTTAAAAAACTGCCCTAGAATTTTAGGCAAGTATATCACTGATAATATTTATTTCTGTAAAATAAAAAGGAAACAAGCAGCCAATTTTGTCACAGCCTAAATTTTTGACGTGCTGCTTTAAAATATTTGTGAAATTGACAAGTTTTGCTTGGTTATCTTGTAAAAGAAATCACCACAGCAAACTAAACTTACTGATGAATTGTAAATGTTTCCACTAGAAATGTAAGCTGGGTGAAAGGGTTAAAAAGAAATAAATATGGGTGGGTTTACATGTTCAAAAACACAGGAGATTTTTGGGCAAATGAATCAGTCACAGTCATTGGACGCCTGCTTATCAGGAGGTGCATAAAGCATATGACTTCGTGGCTACCTTTTCAGTCCACTTCTGAATCCTCATTAAGTTTCCCTAACTGCTACTTTCTAGGCTCTAAAGACATTTCAAAAGATATCATTATTTGCTAAAACTTAAACAAAAAGTGTCACTTCTCTATATAGTGTATTTTCTGCATCTACTTTAAGTTTATGGTTTAAACTATATGGGTAGTAAAAAGGAAATATTATTAAACTCAGTCATTTGGACTTAAGAAACTACACCTCTGCAGTAACAGTAATGAAGCCAGTCCAACTTTTTTTTTAGTGGTTATATAATCAAATGACAAAGAACTACTGAAGTAAAATTGCTAAATTCTACACAAAACTGATTACTTGACTGATAATAATATTTTAACCCTTTGTGTTACTACCTTCTGTATTAAATATTAAAAAAAATCAATCCACCTAATCAGTTTTCTACTAAGTTCGCCTTTAACATGAGAGCCCTAGTCAACTGCAAAAGTATTATAAGCCAACAGTTTCATTCCATGAGTCAGATGACCTTCAAGGAGGGTTAATTAAACGTCACACAATCATCTTCCTGTTTTACTTCAAATTTTTGCAGTCCAGTGTATTCTTAACAAGAGTAGAATTAAAATATATTCTCCCCAAATGAACAAAGTTGGCATCACTACATGGAGAGCCTTAAAGATAAGCCCAGAATGAAAGCATGACGACAGCCGTCTGGGAGTTGTCAGGAAGGTACTGAGAAAGCAGTGGGGCGCCGCGGCGTTTCCCAGGAACGACAGGCATCACACAACCGCCAACACCAGAGTATAGAGAGAGCCGTGGTATTAGCCCACGCTCTTACTCCAAACTTGCCTTGGCCCCTGAGTTGATGACAGCAACACTAGGAGTAAATGCCACATCAACAAACCTACGGTTCCTCTGGGTTTATCTTTGTACTCCTAGTACCTAATACTAGCACTGAGGAAGAAAGCTATTACATTCTAAAGGCTTGAATGAAACCCAAGGAAACAGTTCTAGAACCTAAGAGCTGTAAAATATTGAATATTTTTAGAGATATTTAAGCAGTATACTTTCTATTGATAGTTTAAATTTCACATGTACACCTTATCCTTCTTGTAATTCCCTTCACCTCCCCGAACCCACCCCATTACTTGGAGAGATGGTTAGACCAAATGACTGTGGAAAGATGGTCCAAGTTTGAGTGTCCAAATACAAAATGGTAGAATGTGGTAATGTCCCCAGGAAGAACTCCTCAGTAGAGGATATGAATTTCACAGCATGCGTGGGTTAAGCTTTGAAGGATATCATTTGACCTATAGATTATCTAAATCCTACACATGAAGTTTCCAGGATTTTGCCACAAATAAAACTTACAATCTTTACATATATGGCTCTCAAATTATCACTCTAAATTCCCTTCCACTCTATTTAAGTCCTTCTATTAGAGATGGGAACCACATAGGCACACAAACCCCTCTCACTCTTCTCATTAAATGACAGCTAATTTTGAAAACCTGGAGGCATACTGACTGGTTGCTGCTGCCTTTTGCACAGTCCACAGATTGCCGCACTGCCAACAGCTCCAGTCTTATCGAACGTTAAAATAACTGAAACTGGCCACAGGAGCCTAACATGACTTGAAGGCTTCCAGTGAAAGGGAATGCACTGTCTTCAAAGGAAATTGCATCAATTTGGGGTCTGCCCTAATTTTTAGAAAATAATTTCCAATAACTGAACCACATTTCGCTTCCTTGTAATTTCCAGAGCCACAAAACAAAACAAAAACACAGCCACAAACAGTAAAATGAACGTTTGGGATGTTACTGAAAGAGTCGTAAAAATCTCATATTAAACAATGAAATAATTCATCCATTTAAGGAATCAAAAACTTACCCAAAGATTTACTCTCTGCTGTCTGTTCGAGCTCTCTGAAAGCACTGTATTTATCACCAGGCTCTATGATGAAAAGACAGAAGCTCAATTAAGGTTAGGAACCTTGAGATCACAACTCAAGGACATTTATCATAAAAGGTCACCACTAAAAACTAAGATTTACATTCACAGGTTCATGAATCTATGAACTGCTTTTACCTCCAAAGGGAACAGTATTTTCAGAGGACTTGTCAGCTGCAATTCCTTTAAACACAGCATATTTATCCGTTGAAGCTGATGCTTTAGTTCCAGGAAGAGGCATCAACAAAGAAGGGGCACTAAAAGGGAAAAAGAAATATTTCTTAATGACTAGAACATTGTCTCCCTATCATGTCATCAAGGAAGAACTTAGAGTTAAAATATTACACAGATACCTAGTAAAAACTTGTGGCTCCCTGCTTTAAAGAAACTATATATGTACACCACATATGACCAAAGACATTTTTTTTTTCCTTGAAAAAAATAGACTGAAACAGCATTCAAGCAGTAATTCTTTCCTTGATTGTGTGAAGAGGGGTCAGATCTATGCTGACCATCTAAACCATCTGTAAGCCATAAAATCCACTGGATTTCTGGTGGTCCAGTGGTTAAGAACCCGCCTGCCAATGCAGGGGACACAGGCTCCACACACGCCGCAGGGCAGCAAAGCTTGTGTGGCGCACGCTCCAGAGTCTGAGTGCTGCAGCTGCTGAAGCCCGCGCTCCTGGAGCCTGCGCTCTGCAATGAGACACCACCGAGGTGAGAAGCCTGTGTGCTGCGACCAAGGGTCGCCTCCGCTCTCCGCTACTAGACAAAGCCCCTGTGCAGCAAGGAAGACCCAGCACAGCCAAAAAATTAATTAATTAAAGAAAAAACCCACTGGAGTGGCATTAGAAATAATTATTATACAACAACCACCTGCAATTTTAGATTTAGATCCATAAATCTGTGAAAGCGAACTGCTCAAGTATGTAAACCCAGTAGTTTAAATTATGTTAACCTTCATGTAAATTATTCTCTCAAATGGGTTCAGAATGCAGAGGCGGAATAGTTAAGATAAAAATCTATTTCTGAAATGCTGTTCAACCAAGATGCAAACTGTCCCTCTTGATCACACTACACAGCTTACTAGCAGGAGTTCCCACCTCTGATAAGCAGCAGTAACAGTTAATACATTCAATCTGCACTATTACAAGGATCACATCAAGAAGTTCCAGAAGCTATCTTTGCAGCAAAACAACAATCACTTCAAAATTAGATAAAGATACTTTTGCCTGTGGACACATTTCCCTGCTGAATGGAAAAAGTGTAATGAGTAGTATCTGTGTGGGTAATTCTTGGATGGCTTAAACACAGACTACAAAAGCTTTGCTTTTTTTATTTTCCTTATCAGACCCTGGCAGCTCCCTGGAAGAACCACCTTTACATATGAATGACTACATTCCACTACTATTTTGTGTCACTCAATACCACCATACACGCCAAGTTATATAAATGGATTTCTATTGAGTTCTTTGCCCTGGAGCAAAAATCTTCCCACAGTCATTTAAATCTTCTTCTCAGTGGCCTACAAGCAAGGTGAAAACCCAGCTCATACACAGGCGTGCTAATGGGCACCCACAGTGCTGGAGGAGTTAGTGCTACCAAATACTGTCATCTCACTCCACTACCAGACACCTGCTACATATTTGATCTGGCCAAATCTGTAATCATCAAGAAAGTGTTTATGCCAGTCATGTAACATGTTTCAGGTTCCAAACATGGAAATGGTTATTACTATTGTTTAATACTAATGAAAGGCACTCAGTGAGAGCAGCCTATTTTTTTTTAAATTCAAGAATCTGCATTCTATTGAAAGATGAGACTTTAAATGATTTAGTCGCCAAAGTTTTCTCTAGTTATCTTTTTCTCTAGTTATCATTTAGGTTTTACAGTTACTCCAGGCGGCTTTTTTACCTAGTTGCTCACCATGCTAAATAAACCCATTTCAAAAGCAAAAGAAGGACTTCCCTGGTGGTCCAGGGGTTAAGAATCTGCCTGCCCCTGCCAATGCAGGGGACACGGGTTCAGTCCCTGATCCGGGAAGACCCCACATGCCATCAGGTAACTAAGCCTCTGCACCACAATTACTAAGTCTGTGCTCCTCAACGAGAAGCCACAGCAGTAAGAAGGCAGTGAGTAGACTCCGAACCCAGTGAGTAGACCCCACTCGCCACAAACAGAGAAGGCCGTGCACAGCAACCAAGACCCAGCGCAGCCAAAGATATATAAATTTTTAAAATAAATAAAAATTAAAAGCAAAAGAAAATAAGCCAACTCAAAACCCCAATGTGCCTTAATCCTTTTGAACTATTCTAGCATCAGCACCTCATGTCTGCTTTGTTTTACCATATGTGGTTCCCCAGTGCCTGGCATATGGCAAGTATTTTCCAAATGGATAAATGAATGATGTTTTTCCCTTCCAGATGCCCTTTCATGCCAGCTCTCCAGGACTCTGACATCCAGTTCAACACTGAGTTCAACCAATTTCTCAGATAAACCCTTCTCAATACCTGTAACTCTAAACTGAGAGCGTCTCTCATCATCTCCCAACAGAATTACAATGGAAGCTGCATTTATCCCATACACAGTAGCAAGAATCACTTTCACCATGCCACTTCTTTCTAAAACGCTTTACAGATTATGTCACAGATCATAAGGCAGTCCGTAACCAGTGCCTGCTCTTAACTAATGTCATTTTTTTCCCCACAGACTAACAATACTCTCCGCTCCAGCCTATTTCTAACACTTTATTTGCCTTTCCATCTTCTCAGACAAACAATGCCTATTTTTTGGTTATAAATACTGTCCAAAGTGGTCTTACCTAGGCTTAACTATTTATTTCATTACTTAACAAATATCCTTTTAAAATAATTCACAATATGGAATACAGATCATCATTAAGATAGGGAATTCATTACACATGAACATACACACGACTGAAGGAGCAATTCTAGAGTTTTATTAGACAATATAAATACCCAGATAAAGCTAAGCATCTTTAGAGCAGGAACTGTGCCTTTTGCTTCGGTATTTCCAGTGACTATCCCAATGTCTGGCACATAGCAGATGCTATGTAAATGTGTCTGAATGAATAAACAAACACTGAGTGTGAATTCTTAGACATAAACAAATGTTTTCATACAAGGAAAGCATAGCAGTAGTCAAGCCAGAATTGAAGAAGAAAAACCTGCAAAGTATGACTATACATGACAGTAAACTATTACATGGAGATAATGCCACACAAAACTGCTAGTACCCTACTAAGTAGTTCAAGTCAGGGTACCACCTTAAAACTTTCTATGCTCAAATTTCAATTTCATCTGCTGAAGAGTTTTCTCCCAGAGGAACGAATCATCAATTAGATAAATTCAGTTTGTAACCTCCATACTACAATATATTCATCCAACAAACCTTTATGAACTACATAGAGTGGGCCAAGCAATACGTACAGACACATGAAATCCTGTCGTCAGGCACCTACAGCCAAGGGAGGGGGAATAGTCAGGTAAAGCAGTAATGGCAGTTAGGGAACAGATATTCACAAGCTGCCATGGCAATAGAGGAGGAGACACCCTGAACTCATGTTGGAGGTAGGGACTGATGGAGAAGGGTTAGTAAAACCTTCCTGAATTAAATCGATTTTTGACATGGAACTAGAATTAACTTTAGAGAGAGCTTCAGATGGAAGAAAACAGGATGTAAAAGGCCAGAAGCTTGAGAGAGCATGGTCAGTTTGGCGGTTTAGGTGTGGCTGGAGATAAGTTGTGGGGAAACAGCAACAGTCAAGAGGGCTAGCAAAAGCCAGGTCACACAGGGCCTTTTCCCACACTGAGCGGAGCAAGGAGGGGGTCAAAAACAGCATGTTTCTGATCAGGTGACTGGATATGTGATTTAACAAATTTTTATTTGGCTTTATAATGAATTGTTTTATGCAGATAATTTGAGATGCCTTGGGTGTTCAGACATGTTCTAGACAAGAGCAGAGCAGATCAAATCTGTGGGATTTCTCTGGTGGTCCAGTGGCTAGGACTCCAAGTTCCCAATGCAGAGGGCCCAGGTTTGATCCCTGGTCAGGGAACTAGATCCCACAAGTTACAACTAAAGATTCCACGTGTCACAACTAAGATCTGGCAGAGCCAAATAAATATATATTATATATATATAAATAAATTTGTGCACAGGAAGAGACCTGAGAAAGAAGGATTATGTGTTTACCATAATAATACGTGTTTAATAATACGTGTGTGGCTTGGAACTCCCAGTACTTTACAGTCACATCACTCATATGTTTCTTCTATGTGTCATTTACAAGTGTTTGATGTAGTCTAAAAATTAGGAAAATAATTCTTTCCCCAATTTATAATTCTCTACAATGCCTATCCCTAAGTTCTTCTTATAGTGTCTGCAGGAAGTGCTGACTAAGAGATAATCAATTGGTTAAAACAGAAAAGATAAGTGAAATTGCACAAACAGGAATATAAGAAAAAGGGAATATGCATCATGACAAAAACAAGTTCCCAAAACAACCAAAGAAATTCACACTGCTTACTCAAAGCCTCATATGTGCTACTCGGTGGAAGAAGTATTTATTAATGAATACTTTTAAAAGATGATGGGGGGACTTCCCTGGTGGTCCAGTGGTTAAGAATCTGCCTGCCAATGCAGAGGACATGGGTTCGATTCCTAGTCAGGAAACGAAGATCCTATGTCTCTGGGCAACTAAGACCATGCATCACAACTACTGAAGCCCATGTGCCCGAGAGCCCGTGCTCCACAAGAGAAGCCACCACAATGAGAAGCTCAAGCACTGCAACTAGAGAAAGCCCGCATGAAGCAATGAAGATCCAGCAAAGCCAAAAATAAGTAAATAAATTTTTAAAAAATAATGGAGGGAACTCCTTGGCCTGTCAGTGGTTAAGACTTTGCCCTCCAATGCAGGAGGTGGAGCTCAATCCCTGGTCGGGGAGCCAAGATCCTACATGCCTTGTGGCCGAAAAACAAAGGCATAAAACAGAAGAAATGTTGTAACAGATGGAATAAAGACTTTTAGAATGGTCCATAACAAACAAAGTCTTAAAAAAAGATGGAAAGGTGTTGACCACATCCTGAATCAGTTACTGTGCCTAAAAGTTAAGCTAGTACATAAAACATCAGAAAAACATTTACACAACTGTGGCTCAGATGGTAAAGAATCTGCCTACAATGCAGGAGACCTGGGTTCGATCCCTGGGTCAGAAAGATCCCCTGAAGAAGCGAATGGCTACTCACTCCAGTATTCTTGCCTGGAGAATCCCAAGGACATGGGATTCATCCCATAGGAGCATGGCAGGCTACAGTCTACTGGGTCACAAAGAGTCAGACACAATTGAGCAACTAACATTTTCATGCAAAACAGAAATCTCAAGGCCTAAAAGCCATTGATTTCAACTTAAACATAAGAGAGACATGAATTTTTATATTTCATGTCTATTCATATTTCATTTTGACATATATATTCATTTCATTTTCTAATGATTTCCGTGGATAGTATGCAATACTGTATTAGTATAAAGTATAGATTAGCAATAATATATACTATATTGCAACATGTTAAAATATGTACCCCTGTCTATAAAGCATTTCAGCAGTTGAAGACCTGAATCTAATATAAGAATACGAAGTCATCCTTGCACAAATACACTCAGTTGTAATAAATCAGGTTTAGCACAAGTAGAAAGAAATACTGTCAAGTAGGTGTACACTGGGAGGAATGGTAGAAGCTGGAGGTGGACGAGGGGGAGAGAAGTTTGGAGGACAAAAGTATGAATAAAAGTGGGGATCATCCAGAAATCATGAGACTAAGGAGTCGTAATTCTTTTATTTATACTTAGGCTTCTTATTGTGGACTGCCTCTTTCTCAATTAATAAATACTATATTAACGATATGCAACTCTTTTTTACCTGTTTCCATGCTGAGAATTACTTGATTTTGAAGAAGCCGGCAACTCTTGGAAATCACTGAATGAGTCATCAAGTGACCCCGACTTGGAAGCATCTTGAAAATCCTGAAAGTCGTCATCTTCTGGTTTGACCACCTAGGTTTACAGAGGACATAGAAACAGAAAACATCCAATAATAAAAAGCTAAATAACAAATCTTTAACCATCAACCTCAAAGACAACCTTTTAAAATGCTCCCATTTCAGTATAAATATCTAATTTCAGAAAAATATCCTTTAGACATAACATCAGCTCAACTGCTTAAGGCAGGAATGCTGCTTAGTACTTATAAATACTCTTGTAAAAATGGTAAAAGGCTGGTTTAAACTTAATTTATATAATTTTTAAATAGCTGAATCACATTTAATAGATTGAGAAACTGCCATTTTTATGAAACAGTTAAATCACATTTGTATATGATACAGTGATATAAGCCTGTTTTAATCTATCACATACACGTATAAACTGTGAACACTGACTCATAATCCCATGCTCTAGGAAGTGAACACTGTTAACAGTTTATTTGTTTTATTGAAAAACAAGCTTATACTATGCTGTTTTGCACTTAAATGAAATTATTTAACATGGACATCTTTTTCATGCAGTATATGTGCATACACCACATTCATCTGAATAATCCAATAGTTTACCAATGTATAGATAAGCCAAAACTTATTTAACATTTTTCTTCTGATTTATAGATATGCAGCTATTCCTAATTTTCACTCTAACAAACAATGCTACAACAAGTATTCTTATATATTTTTGCTCATTTGAGTTACTAGCTCTGTGAGATGGATTCCTAATAGCATGACTGCTGGGTCAGAAGACATGAATATTTAGAATTTTGATAGCTATTGCCAAACGTGCCTTCCAAAAAGGCTGTACCAAAAAATCCTTTTTCCCACATTTTTACTAACACTAAATAAGTATGTTTAAAAATCTTTTTTGCTAAACTGAGAAATGAAAAATAAACGCAAACATCTTAATCAGGCTTAGTAGCTTTTTCAAAAAAACAGCCTAAGTATTTAACTAGCTTTATTAAACTTGATGTTTAAAATACACATGATAAAGAACTACACATTTTTAGCCAAAATTCAAGTATCTGAAGGCTTCAGAAATTCTTTTGCTTTTTAAATAATGAAAAATTCAATGTTGTGTTGTTTTAACACTGCTTAATTTCCACTGCCAGTGTCCATCATAATCCAGCAATCTTTTCTACATTTCTTGGAAAACACACTTGCTCAGATTCACTTTCAGAGATAACTTGGAATACACACAGCCTCTTCATCTACCTGATTTGCAGGGTAAGCGGACATGAAGCCGCTGGAAGTCTGGGCTGCAGCTCCCCCGACTGGCCCAACAAGGTTAATGCCCATGACTGGCTGGCCGAGGGTGAGGGGCATGGGCCCTGCAGGGCCGGACGGCATCCCTGTGGGCTGACTCACAGCAGCTGGCAAAGTCACAGGAAAGCCACTTAACGTTGGCACAGGAGCCGCTGGAAACTGATTTAAAGCATCGGGACTCATGGCAGGAACACCCCTCTACACAGAACACGAGGAAAATGGGAACAATTCAGGAAACTGCAAACGACATACAGCTCAAATCTGACACAGAGATCTAAATGTAAAATCTGTGGCCTGAGATGTTGTTCTACTCCTGACTCTTCCCAAACTCAGGAATTTGACACAAGAAAATAAGTTATAAGGTTAATGTAAATCTAATACTTAGCAAAGAAATGGCCAACACACACTCATTCTGACATTTTCACTCTCTGACAAGTTTGGTTAATTCACTCTAATCAAATCCTTTACAATGATTTTGTAATATGAGAAAAATGGCTGCCAGGCCAAGTACACTTTATATCTAAGGAATTTTAGATAAGGACTTCAAAGGACAGAGAGAGTAACTTCATCTATTACTAACTTTCAAGCTCAAAAGGATTACAGTTAGGTCAGAGAATTTTAATATATTAAAGTCTTTAAACAAAAGTGTATTGTGCTAGCATGCATATCATATAAACTGTACATTCTGAAGAACTCTATCCTGAAAATAACCTAAATTTTAACGTCCAAAGAGTTCTATAAGTTGTAGAAAAAAGTATTTATATTCTCTCAGTTTATATTGAAAGTATAAACCTAACCTTCGAAAGAATGTCTACCTGTGTTACTGCTATCATGGCAAGAACGGTATAAAGTTCTTCTTTAGTCAGTTTTCCAGGTGTGGTTCGATTAGCTAAGGCCCATATCTGTCCAAGAGTTTCCCTGGGAAGTCCAGATGACATCAGGATGGGATAAAGTTTAGCAGTGTCTATTCCAGTTGGAGTCATTGTGGTTTCTAAAATTTTCTTATAGGCATCTATTAAAGGAAAGACCAGATTACAAATGTAAACATATTGCAAATAATTCACCTTTTTTGTTGTCATTGATGCTTATACATGAATAATCCTAAGTCAAACTGCTTTAACAGAACTGAAGCCACATCAAGGACTTGAGCTGCTATAAAGATATTCAAGTGGAAATGTCCAGCAGACAATTAGGGTCTGGAGCTTAGAAGAGAGGCTGGAGCTTGGTTCTACAGATGAAGATTTTGGGTTAAAGGTAAGAGGGAGTCTTCTCACTAGGAGACAGTAACAGCAGTTAAGACAGAGGAGGTATAAGCAGATGCTTTGGATTTTAAAAAAGAAGTTGTAGAGTAATGATGGTGGAACTAATCTGCAATTAATAGCAGTGGGAAGCACAAATTATACCCGTATCACCTTTCTCTTGTCCCAGTGAATCAGAGGCTATTAGAGAAAACATCATCGGGTAAGGTGTTTGGGAACAGAGCCTTCAGAGGAAGACACAGTTACAGTTGAAGTGAGAGAGGAGAGTAAGTGTTTGAGAAAAGGAAGGGTTCACTGGGGAGTCTTTCACAATAAAATGGACTTTCCAAGGACAAAATGGGAGAAACTTTTAGGGGTAGGGTTGCTGTATAAATACAGGATGCCAATATTGCATGGGGTATGCTTATTCTAAACAATTATTTGCTGTTTATATAAAATTCAAATTTAACTGGATGTTCTGTATGCAAATTTGCTGAATCTGGCAACTCTAGTTAGAGGAGTTGATGGATGAAAGTAGGGTTAAGGTAGACAGAGAAAAATGTTTAAAAAGAAATTTTACATATAGCATTACACACGGATTAAAGGTTAGTAGGCGTACCATACGAACATATGTTTTTTAAGTTTGTGTTTATTTATTTGGCAGTGCCGGGTTTTCACTCCTGCAGGCGGATATCTTACTGCGGTGGCTTCTTCTGCTGCGGAACATGGGCTCTAGGGCATGCGGGCTTCAGCAGTTGTGGCTCACGGGCTTAGCTGCTCTGTGGCATGTGGGATCCTCCCAGACCAGGGATGGAACCCATGTCCCCTGCATTGGCAGGCAGATTCTTAACCACTGGACCACCAGGGAAGTCCACTAGGAAATTATGTGTGTGTTTAAAAGCTTCAGTTGCTAAGTCGTGTCTGACTCTGCGACCTTGTGGACTGCAGCACACCAGGATTCCCTGTTCTTCACTATCTCCCAGAGTTTGCTCTAATCCATGTCCACTGAGTTGGTGATGCTATATTTTGATAGTGTCTTTTAAGACATAGTAAATCTAAGACAACCTTTTAGAAATAAAAGTTATATGATGGTCATTAAAACATTACAGCAAAAGACTTTTCCTTCATTTATGTAGTTATTTCATATATGAGGCAGTCATAAACACTAGCTGTATTTAATTTTCTGTACTCTTTCAGAAAAAATAGTTACAATTTCTTCTGCATATTCTGTAGCCACTAAATAGTAAACACTTACAACTACATTACAACATTTGAAGTAAAGTATCCAGATAGGAATCTTTGGCAAAAAAGCTCTTTTTACCTGGAACCAAACTCTCATTGTAAATCCAAGGAGGCATTCTGGGCTGAACAGGATCCTGTGAGGGAAATACTCCTACACCTAGGAGATAAAGAACATCACCTAATGTATATAATGATCCATGCAACAGAAGCAGAAATCACACTGAGTCATGGCTTTTTATGAGAAGAGTGCTGGCTGGAGATACTAAAAAAAAGTCACCAATTCAACTAAAATTTGGTTTCTAAGCAACTCTTGTACATTAACCATGTCCTAAGGCATAAACTAAAAACATAAAACAAACAAAAGAAAACAAAAAACCCTAAATGTACCAAATCAATACTCTGGATCATATGAGGCTTGTGCCATTCACATTTATTACAAATTAAAGGAGAAACATGATAGGCAATGGTTTAAAAATTACGTGTACAAAAAAAAATTGCTCAAGCTTCACTTGCAGCTTTTAATAATGTTTCTTTGCAAAGTCTTATGTTTTAAAATCTTGAATACGATACTGCTGCCTCAGATGTATAGCATTTTAAAATTTTTTGTTTTTCACTTTGTCCTGTAAGCAGCCTCCAAAAGTTTGCCTCCCGGGTTGTCCACATTCATCTCTGCAAATTGAGTTTACAAAAATGTGGATCTTCAGGCAGCAGTGTGTATGGTTTATTTCAAAGAAGCAAAGCTATATTCTCATTGGTGACTTTTCCAGTTAAATTTTAACTTTTCAACCTTCAGGAAGAAAAGAAAGGTTAAGAGGGGAAAAAGTTTTTATAAAGTAAAAGAAGAAATTTTAAATCAGGAATGCTTTTGATTAAAAAACTGGTTATCAAAAATTTTTTCAAAAGGAGTAACAGTGTCTTGAAAGAATTCAGAGCAAAATCATAGGGGTTAATTACAGAAGAGAATGCATTACATATATTTTAAGCAAAATTTCAATTAGCAAAATCAAGCAGCATTCATTTTAAGATTAACGCTTAAGGTGTTAGCATTTGAGCGACATTTAGTTAAATGAACTTTTTGCTGAAAATTTCATGAGCTCACCACTCTCTTCAATGGACAGGTTTTGGTCTGAAGTCTTTTCTGCCTCTGCGGTAGTGGTACCACTTACACGTCCATCTACAGCACCCCCATTATTGGCCATTAACCTGGGATGGTTCTTTCTGGAACCTCGGCCTAGGGCTTTGTGCCCAACTTCAGAGGTATTTAATTTAATCTGTTCCTGCCCAGATGTACTTAAGTCACAAGATACTAGGAGCTTCTCCTCCAAGGAAGAGCCTAAACAAACAGCATGAAGGATTATTTGTATATTATTGCAAGCTTCTAATTTTTCAACCATCCATTTCCACCCCCAGATTCTAAAGGGAAGGCCCTGCCACATATAATGTAAATTTTGAAATAATTCAAGCCCACGTGTTTGTTCAGGACCTGAGGTACTTCAGTGATTTTAGAGAACTTTACCATCATTACCTTCTTGGATTCTCAGGAATTCTGTGAGACAGTAGGTAGAATAGCATAGTGGAAGATGTATTATCTTAGAAATTTGGTGACCTACACAAGATACAGACACTTTTACAGACTATTGCCTATTTCTGCATCTGTCAATTGAGAAAGTGTGGACAAGAACATGTCAGCTAAGAGCCCTCTCAGCACTATTCTAAATCTCAAGACAGAGTAACTGCCCACCTCACCCCTCGCTCACACATGTGATTAAAACCGAGGTACAGAAATGTTCAAAGATTTGTCCAAGGACAAACTGATAGTAAATGGAGACCCTGGGCTTCTGAACCCCCATGTGCTTTATCACTGAACCAGAGAGCACTTTCTAAAGCAGCTTTTCCTGGCTCATCACTCTTAAGAAAATGATCTTATTTCCCCAAACAAGAGTCACCTTCTGAAGAAATCAGTTTGTTCTTAAAGTTCTAAGGTGGCTTAAATCGATCCTAACTTCTTAGATATACCTATCGTTTAAAAGTGGGCATTTAATTTCTAAATATAGTTAAGTTGCTCAGTCGTGTCCGACTCTTTGTGACCCCATGAACTGCAGCACGCCAGGCCTCCCTGTCCATCACCAACTCCCAGAGTCCACCCAAACCCATGTCCATCGAGTCGGTGATGCCATCCAGCCATCTTATCCTCTGTCATCCCTTTCTCCTCCTAGCCTCAATCTTTCCCAGCATCAGGGTCTTTTCCAATGAGTCAGCTCTTCCCATGAAGTGGCCAAAGTATGAGTTTCAGCTTCAACATCAGTTGAGGACTGATCTCCTTTAGGATGGACTGGTTGGATCTCCTTGCAGTCCAAGGGACTCTCAAGAGTCTTCTTCAACACCACAGTTCAAAAGCATCAATTCTTTGGTGCTCAGCTTTCTTTATAGTCCAACTCTCACATCCATACATGACNGATGTTGGCAATTTGGTTCCTCTGCCTTTTCTAAAACCAGCTTGAACATCTGGAAGTTCACAGTTCACGTATTGCTGAAGCCTGGCTTGGAGAATTTTAAGCATTACTTTATAAGCGTGTAAGATGAGTGCAATTGTGCGGTAGTTTGAGCATTCTCAGGCATTGCCTTTCTTTGTGATTAGAATGGAAACTGATCTTTTCCAGTCCTGTGGCCACTGCTGAGTTTTCCAAATTTGCTGGCGTACTGAGTGCAGCACTTTCACAGCATCGTCTTTCAGGATTTGAAATAGCTCAACTGGAATTCCATCACCTCCACTAGCTTTGTTCGTAGTCATGCTTCCTAAGGCCCGTGGGGTTTTTAAAGTAATCTCTGATATTCTCATTTTGATATTAACTTCTCATTTAAATGTTTCTTCTCTGCAATCAGCCTCTGTGTTTTTTCAGTCTTTAACTTTATTGAGGCTTTCAAAGGCTAAGTTTTGGTAAATGTCACAGTGCACTTGAAGATACGTGGGTTATTTTCAAATGACTTTTGATATCGATTTCTAATTTCACAGTGATAAAGAGAACAGACTCTGTATCCTTTCAATACCTTTAGACCATGAAATTTTTGCACCTTGTTTTTTTTTTACCTTGCTTTATGTCCCTGGATATGTTCCAATGTCTCCTGATTTACAGTTCAGGAAATACGAACAGAGTTTGTATGCTGCTGTTGTATGAAAACCGTATAAATCTTAATTGCTGAATTGGTTCACAGTGCTTTTCAGGTCTACTATATACCTCTATTTTTCTGTCTATTCATTCTATTAATTTTTGAGAGCTTGATACTGAAATTTTAACAAAAAAATCTTAATTTACTTAAAAATAATTGTAATATTTAGTGGAAATGTATGTAACTTTTTTCTATACTTTCCAAGTCTCCTGTAAATGTGTTAGCTTACTGTCGTAATTTAAAAAATAATAATAAAAAATAGATCCCAAATTTAGCAAAAGAAGTTTCAAATCACTTTTTCAGAATGTGAGGTCCCCAGATTAAAAAAAAAAAAAAAACTAGATTCTTATCTAGAGTCTTATTTTGGTGAATTTCAATAGTACTCACATATTCAGGCCCATGTTTCTTTGCCAACATCACTGTATTATTCTACTTATGTAAGTGAAATAAATTTTCCTAGATTTTTCAAAATACTCTCATTGAGAGCTTAGGAGTTACCTGTTTCCTGCACACTGTGAGAGGCCGAAGCGGTAAAGAGACAAGGGATCTGCCCGGGGACACCATGTAGGGCACCAGACAGCGGACTCTGAGCTGGAGGGAGAGGCCGTGCGCCAGCCTTCCGTACATGCACCTGGCCAAACGGGGTGGTGGGATGGAAAGACTGGAAAGGCTGGGGAGTGGAGGGAGGCCCACATGTGGGAGCTTCAACAGGCCCCTGCATAAAGTCACTGAACTCTTCTTCATCAAGAAAGGCAGGTGACGGGGAGACAGTTTTAGTAGAATGAGATGATGTGGGATAATCTGCAAAACGGAAAATGGCAATGAAACACACAGAAATGAAAATTAACAGGGGAAAAGAAACTGAGATGTAGTATGGCTCCAAAAGAATATACTGAAACATGAACAGTGGAGGTGGCTAAGAAATAACATGTAGGAGCAGTCAAACGGAATCATACAGTGAATGCAAAACATTTTGACGTCTATCTATAAATAACTTTTTGGTCTTTTTAAAAAAGAGGTTTTATAGCTATTTTGCATTTGGTTCAAAAGCAGAAAACTGTAAAATTCAAAGTTTCTTTCCTTCATTAGACTAGCACTAGTTTTTTTCCTTGAGACCACGAGTAATTTACATCAAAGTGGTGATTACTTTTGAAACTCAACTCATCTGTTTATCTGGATAATATTTTCTCAAACCAGTAGAGATAAGAAAATCTACCTACATGCTGCTGAATACATTTTAGAGATATATGTTGATGACTAAACTTCATTAGGCCAGTAAAAAACAATGCATGACACATACTTATAATTTTAGATAAATCATGCCTAATTGGTACACTTAGCATAGTTCATATTTCGTATGAGGATGAAAGCTACTATGTAGGGAATGAACAGGGAATGAAAATTACAGGGGCAACAAGAACATCAAACACATTACCAAAGTGATACTTTCTTGTGAGAAGCACCAAAATTAAGACACCATAAAGTGTTAAGTCAAACAACTTAGAAGCCAATTTAAAAAAATAAACCCTAGCTAAGAGCTATGTTCAAAAGAACTCTGCCTCTAAAAGATACAAACGTCACCATGGCTTTTTACTGTCAAATATGAGATTCACTTATGTAATAAACCTCTCTACAGGGATTAGTTTTAATACAAGGCTCATTCACAATATACTACTGTTGCTTCTTCACACTGCAAACTTTGAATTGCTATAAAATTTATTAATACTAAAGTCTAATGTCACAAGGAGCAGTCTTTTTTTTTTTTTTTAATAAAGCCCTCATTTGAAAAATGGGGACACTATGTGTTTCTCTTTTGGATCCATGAAATAAAACTTGGAAGCATTAAAGTTCTATGAAAAATGCAATATAACTATAAAAAAATGAATAAAAAATAAAAAAGCCATGTCATAATGAATCCCAACCCTCCCAATAATGGTTACTGAGAATGTCTGAGAGTGTGTACTTAAGTTCTCAGTTTCGGTTCTCTGACCATTACTGGTAGAAAATAGCAATAATGGAAAACTGAGAGCTACTATGAATACTTTTAGATGGATCCTATTTGGGCTAAACCAATTTTTTTTTAGGCTATACCAATATTTCTTTGCATTTGACTGGAATTATTTTAATTCTACGTGGTATATATTTTGGCTTAAAAACTCATAGCTATCTATATATATATGATTAATAAGAAGTATAAAAATTATGTGATACAGTTTGTATATCCACTATTTTAAGATAAACAGTCTATGGGCGAAAGTTAAAAGATGTCTTTAGTGGAAAAAGGCTGGAAACTCTTTAGGTGCTTTAGGTCTAGGTTTAAGATTCTAGCTGGAGAAGCTCTGGTAATTCCTTGGGTTTGCTTCAGAAAAAAGTATTTTTCTAGCTAAGCATGAAGCAGTTAACTAGAAACAGCTAACAGCATGCATGCTGAATGAACTCAAGAGATTAGCTGAACATCAAAACCCCAATTTATTATTTAACCTGTGAGGTTGTTAAACTATACTTGGTTGCCCAAATGAGGCATTCTATACGGCTAGAACAGTATGTGACTTGACAATGACCATCTCTCTCTGCTTTCTTCTCCTTTTTCTAAGCTCCACGCTGGTTCCAGTTTTACCATTCCAATGACTAGACTTCAGTGATTTACTGACTAGCTTATTTATTCAGCTTATAATTTTCACCTTGAGGTATGCTTTTCCTTTCTGAACTCATTCTGATCACTAATATCCATTCCCTTTTCAATCTCAGTATATATTTTACTTTGGGGCACATTTTTTGTAATGATAACCTGAGTATATAATCTAACAAGTGAAATTAATGGAGTGAGGCAAAGCTCTCCCAGAAAGTCAAGAACTCATTACTGTACCAACATTAGATTATTTCTTCCTGATATCACCTATAAAAGACACTCACTATAAAGGTTTAAGATAAAATTTGTCAATGTGATATATGCTAGGAAAAAATAGTATTTAGCTGAATTATTTATGAAAACTATTCACCCATTAATGGTATGTTAATCTTGAAATTAGCTGAGAATAAAATGTCAAAATATCAAATTTTTAAAAAGGATGTGGTAACAGCTATGTGAAGATAAGATTCATTTCAACTGCTACATGTTTAACACCCGTGCAATCCCACCCTCCGCGAATTTCCTTCACTCTGCTTTATCAGGCACTTTTCCTTTGCTTATTTGATGACATAATCAAAGGAATATAAAAAAAAATGAAGTAAAAATAAAAACTACAAAGAAATGTAGTTTCATTTCTACAAAGAAAAAACTAAAATTTCACAAGAAAATTATTAAATCCATGACTTTTTAAAAGAATCATTGATAAAATTTGTAAGTTTAATCACATTGAGTAAAACCTAAACTAGTTCACTAGTTCATAAAAAGTAAAATTAGTTTAAAATAATAAGAATGCAATAGTAAACTCATTTACTACATTTGTTTTGACTGAATGAATTTTACTAATGTTAACATACTCATTCATACAGAAGATTTACAAGTAAAATTGACATATTGACATTTACTAGAAAACAAGAGATTTTTCCCTCCCAAGACAGTTATCGAGACCAGAGCTCTTAATTCACTATAAATTTTAAAACATCTAAATCCGTACTTAGCTTGAAGGAAGAATTTAACACTCACTCTCCACACACACACACACACACACACACCGGTCAATCAAAACCGCAAGGACTTCAATCATCTTCCATCAAAAGAAAATTAAAATTAAAACTACCTGGTTTCTTAGGGTGTGATGCTGGAGTAGGGTGCATTTTAGCATCTCTGGAAAACCCATCTAAGTTTCCTTTTATGGCTTCCAAAGCATCATCTCTACTCTTCTCTCCTGTCTGAGAGACAATAAATGTATATGTATTTCTTCACTTACCACCACACTTTGTCCTAAATCCACACAAGTTGAAAGAGAACTGTGGATATTCAACTATTTCCAATACTTTTACGACATACGTCAGGCAGTGAATTCTCCAAGTCAGAAAAGCACTGACACACAGCAAAATAAAACAATATTCCATAGAATATTATTAGAGGTCCATTTAAAAATACATTAGGGCAGAGGTCCCCAAACTTTTTGGCACCAGGGGCCGGTTTGTGGAAGACAATTTCTCCACAGACGGGGACGGGGATGGGAGGTATGAGGGATGGGGCGATGGGGAAAGCGGAGACTGTTTTAGGATAATTCAAGCATGCGACATTTATTATGCACTTTATTTCTAGCACATCAGCTCCACTTCAAATCATCAGGAATTAGATCCCAAAGGCTGGGGACCCCTGCTTTAGGGTATAGGTGTTCGACATTAAGTCTCCAGTGTTAATGCTTCCCAAGAAAAGGTTATAAGCACTCCAAAGGGAGTACACACGGGTGAAGATAATGACTGACATCTCATTCCCTTCAACAATAAAGTCTCTTCACAGAAAAAGAAAAGTCCTTCACTTTTGGGCTTAAGACAAAAGGAAAATCAATCAAACACACCTACAGCCTGGGCTGGTGTCCCGGTGATGAAACCCACTGAATGAGTGAGAAGAGGCGCGCGCAGTGGCTGTGCTGTGGGGTGGAGTACGTTACCTTGGGTTTCACGCTACTCAGAAGTCTGAGCTTTTGCTTCTGCTCTTCAAACTGGCGTCGTTTTCTTTCTTCTTCTAAGAGCTTTTGCTGCTGTTCAAATCGTTTTCTGAAGGAAAAACCACCAGTAAAGAGCCAGCTTCAGGATTATTAACTGTTAGAGTCACACTTCTTCTACTAACAGTTTCAGCAATGTCATCTTGCATTTCTAGAACTAAAAACTTCACTGATGATTGTATCTAATTTTCTAAAGATAATCCTATGTCTCCACTATATTAATTTCCAAATATATGAAATAAGTCTAAAAGATGATTCACCTAAATTATAGATGTGAACTTATTTCTTGTCTAATTTGCAACAGTAGGAAACAACATTCTACATTCAAAGTATATATAAACACACAGGGAGCTAGACAAAGTAAACACACTCTCTGCTCTGCATACAAAAAAGGAACTTCTACTTGGGGAGGCAGTATCATACATGAGAAAGAGCAATGGCTCTGGCAATCAGGAGGCCTGCACTTGGGTCCAGATTTTTCCAGTAACTGTGTAGCCTGGGCTGACAAGTTGCTTGTTTCTTTGGACTTCATTTTCCCCAGACGTTAACGTCTGTGGATTGAATTCTAGGATCTCTAAGGTCCCTTCTGGCTTTAAACTTTTACATAATAAGAGCATTTTAAAGAGCTTTAAGGGCACTGTGATCGTTTCCTCTTCAAATCTGCACTACACATTATTTGACCATTTTAAACTTAATTGCTATCATGCATCTTTATCCTTGCACCCTGAGGTTTCTTACTGCTGCTCCTCGGCAAACTGCTTCTGCATGTCTGGAGTGTACTGTGGGCCTGGAGGACGCATTCCCAGGAATGGTGCTTGCCCCAGGTAAGGCATTCCTCCTGCTGGTATTGGTCCCATTGGGATCCCTGCCTAGAAACAACAGACAAAGACTTAGGCTTAAAAAACACAATTTCTCCGCTTTTTTTTTTTTTTGGCTGTGCTACACAGCATGTGGGATCAGTTCCCTGGCCAGGGATGGAACCTGTGCCCCCTGCAGTGGAAGCATGGTGTCTTAACCACTGGATCGCCAGGGAAGTCCCCACAACTTTTTCTTTTAACTACTACAAAGAAAAACTGTAGCTTCTAAAACTTTTCTTATTTTTAATTAACAAACTATATAAATGCATTTTTAATAAAGCACAGCTTCTTGTGTTTTTAAATCTTATTTATCTGTGATTGCTCTGGGTCTTTATTGCTGCGTGAGGACTTTCTCTAGTTGAGGCAAGCAGGGCTCCTCTTCAGTGGGTGGAGCGTGCGCTCCTCACCGTGGCAGCCTTCCTCGCAGAGCACAGGCTCTAGGGTGCTCGGGCCTCAGCAGTCGTGCCAACGGGCTCAACTGCCCGGCGCCACACGGCATCTTCCTGGACCAGGGAAGGTGGAACCTGCGTCCCCTGCTTTGGTAGGCAGGTTCTTAACCACTGGACCACAAGGGAGGTCCTGCATCGATTAATTTTAATAGAAGAGTCAAAGGACACAGGCTAAAAATGAAAAGCTCCCCTTAATATCTTGCCTCTTCCACTGCCTTCTTATCTTCGAGACGACCATCACTGCTAACAGAGTGAGGATGTGTGTATAAAATCTTTCAGACTGGGTGTGTAAGAAAGCACACACACACACACACACACACACGTAATAACTGGTGAGCTCACTGATCCATACTCTTTGAGGTGTCGTATCTTACATGTCTTTTTGTATTTCTCGCAATAGGTAAGAGCCTGGCATATGGCAGTTATTCCACAAGTGAAATTAAACACGTATTTCCAATATGTATGATAGGATAATGAATATTTTGATATTCATTATTATACCCTTGGTATCCAAACTTTTACAGAAAAAAATAAATTTAATGAATACTAAATGACATATCAATATAATAGTATAAAGTTTACTGAAGTGTCCAGAAGAACAGCACTGCACAAGAGCTAAACACAAAACTTAATATGAATAATGATGGTGGTGACGATGTAAATGACGGTAATGGCTAATTTTTACTGAGTGAAAATGTCTCTATTCTTCAACCTTCTCCCTGAAAGGCTCCCCTTCAGTTCCCTAACTTGAAACTTGGCTGTCCCTGGAAGCCCTTTCACTTGGAGATTGCTACTTTTCTTCCAACATTTCCTGTAAATGGACAATATTCTCCTTGGTTCTAAACCCCTTTCCTCTTTTCCTTCAAAAACCTGAACATATTTTGATTTCCTGCAATCAGACTTCATCATTTACTCTCCTACCCTGTTTACGCCATCTACTCCCTCACTCTTCAGCTTCAAAACCTTGCTATGGTCCACTCTACTCTCAGGCTGCTCCTGGTTACGGTCAGTAATCATGTGGGTGACTCATCTAACACTGGCGTTTCAGGTCTCCTCGTCACAATCAGGTTCAACATACCACTCGAGCTTCCCATTCCGTGGTCATCGCTCTGCTTATCTGGCCCAACAGCTGCATCATCTCCAAAATCTTGATTTTAAGCATGCCAATAATTGACCACCACTTTCTATTCTTCCAGTTCATGCTATCCAGCAATTCATTTCATTAATACTTCCCACCCACCCATTAATCTTTCCACTGTCCCACCATCCATCATGCTCATCATATCCTCACTTCTCTTCTTGCTCAGCTTAGACTCCAGGATTCAATATTAAACATCCCTGTAAACTTCCTTAGCTCCCCTACCTCTGGCTTCCTTGGTGTGGTCACCTGGGACTTCATTCTTGTTAGTCAACTAATCACTTTCTCTTATCCTTATACCCAAACCACTTAATCTTACTGGAGAGAAAAACCTTGAAGAGTCACCTTAAGCTCTTCTTAACAAATGTTTCCTTTTGGCTGTGCGGGGTCTCTGCTGCTCTGAGGGCTTTCCCCTAGTTGTGGTGAGCCGGGGCTACTCTCGAGAGGCAGTGCACACGCTTCTCACTGAGGTGGCTTCTCCTGCTGTGGAGCATAGGCGTCAGTATCTGCAGCTCCCAGGCTCTAGAACACGGGCTCAACAGTTGTGGTACCTGCAGCTGGGTGCTCCGAGGCATGTGGGATCTTCCCAGACCAGGGACTGAATCCACATCTCCTGCATTGGCAGGTGGATTCTTGGTTGCTGAGCCACCAGGAAAGCCCCATCTTAAATTTCTGCCTACAAATTTCAAATGGTTTCCCAACACAGGAGTCTTACAGAGACTCCTACCTTGTAAGATTTCAATCCTTTGAGTTGCTTGAGATTTGCTATGGCCCAGCATATTTCAATTTCAATATTTCATGCTTGCTTAAAAAGAAAGTAATTTTGAGGACTTCCTTGGTGGTCCAGTGATTGAGACTCCATGCTCCCAAAGCAGGGGCATGAGTTCGGATCCCTGGTCGGGGAACTAGGATCCTGTATGCCACACTGTGTGGCCAAAAAAAAGTGTTTTGCAATTGTTGGACACAGTATCCTATGAATCCACTAATCAAGTTTGTTAAGAACCTTGTTTAAATGTATATCTTTACTGATTGTGAACTTGTCTATTTCTCCTTATTTTTCCATTAGTTTCTATCTTACACATTTTTGGGGCCAGGTTATTAGGTGCATACAAACTAATATCTTTCTAATGAATTTAATCTCTTATCAAAATGAAATGCCCTCTTTACCTCCAGGCTTGTAAGGCTTTTTGCCTTAAAAGTATATTTTGTCTGATTTTCCTTTAATAGAAATCATGTATTTCCCTCAAATTAAAAAAAAAAGTATTTCTTTTGAATTTTTCCAAAATACCTTCTTGTTCTGAACCTTTACTAAGACCGTGGAAGACTGTTTTCAGGTCTAGAAGTAATACAATATGTGTTAAGTACCTGGAACACTGTTTAGCACATTATGAGTAAACAAACAGCAGCTATTATAAAATAATTATCTTTAACCTTAGAAGTAATACTGATGACAGAATAGAATACTTTCAAAAACAGTAATGATTCCATTTTTTTCTGAAACAAGATTCTTCAAATACAGAATTAAACAACTAGATAAGAAAAAAAGAACACAACAGTTGTAATACAGATATCATTTTATTGTGTTCCTGCCGTATGTCAGCCATAGAACTAGTCATTTGTATACATAATTCTCAATATATGTAAGATCATCAGAATTAGAGATAATTCTAATAATGATTACTAAGATGACCTTAATAAGAACAAATACTTAGGAAGTTTGTACTAAGTTCCAGGGACGTTTCTAAGTGCTTTACATGTATCAATTAATTGAACCCTTATAATAAACCTATGCAGTAGTTGCTCCAATTATTATCATCTTACAGATGAGGAAACTGAAGTAGAAAATAGTTAAGTATCTCATTCATTACTGGCAATGACAGAGCCAGGATTAGAACCAGGCAGCTTCTGGTTCCAAAATCCATTTTCTCCATCACTATGCTATGCTGCCTGTCCAGTTACCAACAACCACCACCAAATTCAGACTTAAAATTGTTTTAAATGTTTTTTTCTGTCTATTCATATGCTCAGACACATACTTGTTCAATGAATACTAGCAACCTGGCAACTTTATAGTTTCCAGTACTTTACAACTGAAGTTACAAGTAATATTGCTTAATTACTAACACACTCTATTCTAAGTTCTGGATGGTGGTGGCCATGCACACTTATTTTTAATCACAGTGTGGTTCTCTTGCTGCTAAAAATTAGTGCCATAGTTCTAGTATTATATTTCTCCTTCTCTCACTATAATGTAATCAGTTCCTTGTTTTTTTTTCCAGTTTCATTGAGATAATTTGACATATAATATTGTATAAGTTTAAGGTGGGTAACATGCTTATTTAATACACTTGTTTATGTATCGCAAAATGATTACCACCATAGCATTAACTAACACCTCGGTCATGTCATATCATTACCATTTCTTTTTTGTGGTAAGGGATTAAATTTCTTTTTAAATTTTGACTTAGTTAACCCAAATCAAAACTTGTTCTTAGTTATGTTCAACTCAAATCAAACAGGCTGAAAGACAAAATGAGATATTCCACAGTAATAATAAAGAATGAAAGAAGATGTCATTATCCACATTGCCTTTCTAGTTACACAACTCTGTTCTTCAAGAAAATTCAAACTTTCTAAATGGCACTGTGTGTTTCTCCTACTCCTTAAAACTAACTTTATACATGTCATACAGCCTAATTTTATGCCTTCTTTTGAAATCTAGATAAACTGAAAGGTTAAGAGATACCAATCCTTATCTATACAGTGAATGAATAACACAGCAAAAAAAAAAAAAAACCCACTTAGAAATCTGAGATACGTTCAATAAACTACTAAAAAGACTNAAAAAAAAAAAAAAAAAAAAAAAAAAAAAACCCACTTAGAAATCTGAGATACGTTCAATAAACTACTAAAAAGACTAAATAAGTTAACCCCCAAGTTGAAAGATACTCAAGGCTACTGAAGACCTGAGCAAGTGGAGAGATGCGACAGCAAGACTAAATGAGTGAAAATGTTAATTTTGATCAAAATCCCTACAGGTTTTACATGGAATTTGACCAACTGACCTCAAAAATTCATACTGAAGGGGATGTGGTGTGGCCATGAATAGCCATAATTCTTTAAAAGAACAACAGAGGCTCCACTCCACCAGATAAAGGCTTATCTTGGGTTAGAACACTTAAGACAGTTAAGACATTTACTGATGCAGGTATAGACACATATAGCAATGAGACAAACGAAAGAGTTTAAGAACTAAGTCAAAGCATACGAAGAAATTAGGCATTACAGGAGTAATCTTAGAAATCAACAGGTGCAGAATGGGCTATTGATAAATGATTTGGGGGACAACCATCTATTCAAATAGAAAATAATAAAATTAGGCCCTTCAGCATCATACTGATACCCAAAGAACAGTTCCAGGTAGG